TTCAAGTAGCAGGTGTTCGTCGCGCTGACCCTGGGGGTGCTACGACTGGGGGTGTGGGTGCGCCCCCTACGGGACCGGGAGAGTCTGGGACTAGCCGTGTTGCTGCAAGTGGTGCTGGCTATGGGGATGGTGCGACTGGTTCTTTGGAGAGCGGTCAGGGGGATGCCATCGCTCCGGACACTACTCCCCCCCACCCCTACCCGACCTGGCACCAGGCACATCTTTGCCGTGCCCGTGAGGAGCAGCTGGAGTTGGAGCAAGAGGAGAGAGAGTTGGAGTGGCAGGAGCTGGAGCTACATCGGGTGGAGGAGCAGCAGCAGCAGCAGTCGGAGCAGCAGTAGCAGCCGGAGTAGGAGCAGCCGCAGCAGCAGGAGCAGCAACAGCCGCCGCAGCTGGAGGAGCAGCGGTTGCAGCCACAACAGCAGGAGCAGCAGCAGCAGCCGCCACCTCCTCCTCCTGTCTCTGGTCTTCGGACCCTCAGTCTCCCCTCTCCTTCTCCTCCCTCCTCCCCCTCTCCTCCCGTCTCTGGGCTTGCGCTTCCTCCTCTTGACCCCTCCCCAGCTGTTTTCCTTCCTTCTCTACCTCAGTTCTCCCATCCTCTTCCTCACACTTGGCCCTCGCGTCGCTCTCCTCGTGCTCGTCCCTCGTCCCCTGTTCCCTTCTCTCACCTTCGTATTGCCCTATTTTTTTTCTAGTCCGCCTCGTTCGTCTACTTCTTTACTTCCTTCTCCTCCTGAGTCGGCTCTCACTGCTTCCCTCTCTACTCTTGTCACGGACAACTATCGCATGTACCGTTCTACTCTCTCTTGTGTTCTCGCCTCTCTCGTTACGGAACCACGTGCTTCTTTGTCCTCTGTCTCCGCTCTTACTGCCACAGTCACTGAGTTTGCCTCTACTCGCCGCCTTGACTACGCCACCAATCTTATGGCTGCTCCTCCTACTAGTCCTATGGCCATCGGGGGTGAGTCTACCCTTGGCTGTGAGGCCCTAGAGGACAGGCATTTTGAGCTAGAGTTCCTGGCAGCCAGATCCCCTCATCTCTGTGCCATGCTGCTCGCCCCTGAGGGAGACCCCGACGCCCTTGAGATGTCGACTCCTCGCACTTACGCTGAGGCAGTGTCAGGGCCTTGAGCCTCTTAGTGGAGAGCTGCCATGGACTCAGAGATGGCCTCCTACACATCCACAGGCACTTCTGTCGACGAGGTTTCCCCCCCTTAGGCGAACATACTCGATGACATGTGGATCTTCAGGGTGAAGCGTCCACCGGGATCTCCTCCGGACTTCAAGGCGCACTATGTGGCTAGAGGTTTCAGTCAGGGCGAGGGAGTTGACTTCTTTCAAACCTTCGCACCTACCCCGAGGATGACCACCCTTCGGGTGTTACTGCACGTAGCAGCACAGAGAGACTACGAGTTACACTCTCTCGACTTCTCTACTGCTTTCCTTCAAGGTAGCCTACACGAGGAGGTCTGGCTGTGTCGTCCCTCCGCCTTCGTTGGCACTTTCCCTCCTGGGACCCAGTGGAGGCTGAGGCGACCGGTCTACGGTCTCCGTCAGGCTCCTTGTGAGTGGCATGACACCATTCGTTCTACCCTGTCTGACCTTGGTTTCCAACCGTCTTCTGCCGACCCTTCGTTGTTTGTTCGTCGTGGCTCCACACCGTTCTTTGTACTGGTCTACGTCGACGACCTGGTTTTTGCCACTTCTGACAGGGTTGCTTTGGCAATCGTGAAGCGCGAATTGCCGAAGAGACACACGTGCACCGACCTTGGTGAGCCGCGCCACTACCTTGGCCTGCAGATTTCCACGGATAGAGCTGCTCGCAGCATTACACTATCATAGTCACACATGGTGCAGCAGGTCATTTAGCGATTTGAGCTTCAACACTCCACAGTACAGCGCACACCTCTTGCTGTTGACCACACACTCACTGGACCCTTTCGTGGCGAGCCGTTTGATCCCACTGGTCCTTACGCAGAGCTTGTGGGCTGCCTCATGTACTTGATGGCTTGTACTCGTCCGGACCTCGCCTTCCCTCTTAGCATCCTTGCTCGCTTTGTTGCGCCAGGGAGACGCCTGCGGAGATAACTACTACAACGGGAGCTAGACTATGGGCTAGGCGCGGGTACTGGTGTGGTCTGTGCGTTCGTTACTTAGTCGTTTACTTGTGCTTGCACTACTTGCTTGTTCACGGGGAAAGTTGGCAAGAGTTTCATTAACAAAAGTTCACAACAATGGTTGCAACAACATTGGCATCACAGACTACATCAGAGCTTGCTAGGCTGCTGGTCGACCTCAAGCATAGCATGGTCAACCGCACTCCAGCGCAGCAGCACTCGCACCGCTCTTGCGATGCAGAGTAGCGGTTCGCCAACGTTGTAAGTTAACGGTGTGCGAACGCTGCAGCAGGTCGGTTGCACAGCGTTGCACCCGCAGAATCACAGTGCATCTGCTTCGCAAGTGCACGTAGCTGGTTGGTGCTCCACGCCTTGTCACGAGCACAGCGCAGACGCCCAGGTCGACTCCATGCCAGCGACTGCGCCCACCAGCCACGTCGATCTCGGGATACCACTTCCGAGGTCGGCCTCGCAAAACCATCCGGGCGACCTTCGCATGCTCACGCAGAAGTCCGTCACCCGGGTTACACAGTCGATCGGGCAACCAGGGTGATGTCGACAAGTCGGCGTCCTCCCCGGTCGGCGTCCCCTCGTCGACTACTTCGGGGCTAGGCCGTCGACTCCGCCAAGTCTTCGGCCACCTAAGGTTGGCGCCCTCCACCCCGACGCCTTGCTGCTCGACTTCCAGCTGCTCGGCGTCCTGCTCCTCGACGCCCTCCAGCTCGATGTCCCCAGTCTCCCCTGTCGAGGTCGACGTCGGCCCCACCTTCGTCGACCACCAGGCCTGGTCGACCACCAGGTCGACAACAACCTTAGTCGACCAACATCAGGTTGACCAGCAATCCTGTCAGCCGGCCACCCAAGTCGGATGCCCCAAGTCGACGCCATCCGCAGGTCGACTTCCCAAACCCGGCGCCCTCCGAAGTCGGCGCCCATGAAGTGGCCCCCGTGCAGGTCGACCACTCCTGTCGACCAGCTCACCCAGTGCTACACGTAGGCTACACCCCTACACCCGACCACGAAGTCAGCTCCGCCCAAGCGAGGACGGGGCCTAACACAACTCCTGTTGACAACACGGAGCCATTCCAGTGTCCACTTCCAACACTCCCCTCGCTGGAAGGGCCTACCACTAGGGCACAGGAAGTCACCAACAGCAGGAATCGAACCCTAGTCCTCCACGCTCACCGCACCATGTCCAGTCCGCTAACCAACTAGGCTAAAAGGGCATGTCCAGTCCTGGTGGGTCAGCGCATTTATACCCCCTCAGGACGACACATGTAGCCCTTGGGGAGATCATTACAGTGTCCACTTCCAACAACATCGTCCAGTTCACTGGACAACTGCTGCGAGGGTGGCGAAGTATCTAGCGACAACATTAGGCGTGGGGCTGGTTCTTGGAGGGCAACAGTCTGTTGTATTTACTGGACACTGTGACTCTTCTTACGCTGACGACACCGAGACGCACAGAACTACTCAGGGGTAGTGCTTCAGCCTAGGCTTTCGAGCTGTTTCATGAAGGTCCACGCGTTCCTTTTCGGTCTTGACCTTTAGCGCTGAGGCTGAGACCTACACTGGAGCCATGGCTGCACAGGAGCTGCGTTTGTTGACCTTCTTGCTCACCGACCTTGGTGAGCGGCCGAGCTCTGCACCGACCTTGTTCACTGAGAACAAGGCGTCGATTCTCCTTTGTCGAGAGCCGCGTCTGGAAAGCAGAGTGAAGCACGTTAATGTTAGGTGCTTTCTTCTGCGAGAGTTGCAGAGGCGTGGATAGGCTCGCTTCGATTTTGTTGAGTCCGAGGCCAACACTGCAGACATCTTCACCAAGGCCCGGCCGCCTTGTGACCACCAGAGGTGTTGTGTGCAGTTAGATCTCGTTGACACAGGTTCTCGCCTTGCATAGTCTTGAGTTCTCTCCTTGCTTTGTTTGTACACTTTACATATACCCCTGTAAACTCTTGAACTAGGCTTTTGACTCTTTTGCTTGTGCTCGGAGTGTGTGGTGACGTTGTGATCCACCCTGAGCTTTGTTTCTTTGTGACTGGTCTTGTGACCGTACACTTTTGGTTTTGCTCAACATCCCTCACTTAGATTATGGGGGTGTGTCGAACGCTGTAGTCTTAGTGATGTGTGCTATAGGAGGTACAACTCTTAGGGTTAGGTTTATGTACCCCAACCAACCTTTGTCAAGCCAACACGTTCATTCTTGACAGCTGGCACGTTGATAAAATGAAATAATGAACTTGATTTGGCAGCATCATTCGCAAGTGTAGCTTCACAAGGTTCATTCAAATATTTGTTTCCTTGATGGAGTTGGTGACATACTAATGACGAAGGTGACAGTTGATTAACTTCAGCCCTAAGTGCTGTTAAGCCGGCAATGAGCCAGGTTTCATGAGATTTATTGAAAAACCTCAAGTACGGACGCCCATGCATGAAATGCAGTGTTTGTATAGCATATACAGACAGCGCCTAGAGAAGATATGGAGTAATTTTCTACTCATAGTTTAATCTGTGTTAAGCAGCTCGTTTACCATTCTTATACCATTAAGCAGCGCCTAGAGAAGATATGACCGCAGCTCTGTACAGCCATCTCGGTTCTCTTGAGTCTGGCAAGTAACGAGTACAAAATGATGAGTTTCCCTTGAACCTCCATGCTGAAATCTCCACAACGGCCGGCAACTGTGAGACTCAGCAACCATTATGACATGCTCTTATTTCCTTGGTGCAACCATTTCCCAGGTTACGTTTCCGATTTTCACATTCAGTCATATAACTGTATGTCCACCTTTGCATCCTTTTCCCTCCTGCTAATCCGCCAGACTGGAACCCAAGCAGCACGGGGCGCCGTTGCGACAGGCGTGTGTCACATCACTGCCTAGCGGAATGCTCTGTCGGCGCGGCTCGTGCCGCGTCCCACCATCATTTCAGCTCTTGAATCACCGACACAAACGTAGTCACGGCTCCTACAGCGTCGCGCCACGTCAGCCTCGTTCACCCTTCGCACGCGCCCTCTCGTTCCACCTCCTCCTCATCGGCGCGCTTCTATTTTCTCCCTCGCTCCCCGTCTCGCGCACGCACGACGCGGCTGCTCCGCTCCTGGCGCTAGCGCAAGGTCGCGAGGCGTCGTTTCAGCTAATCTCGTCGCTTTTCGTCTCCTGGTCCGAGGCGTACGGCCTGGGGGGAAATTCCACCACTCCCCCCGCGAAAATCTCTCTCCCCCCGCGCGTGCCCGCTGCGCCGCACCTGGAGGACTGCGCGCGAGTGAGCGCGGAGCGGGAGGCGTGGGAGCGGAGAGGCGGGCGGGGAGAGGAACCCGCTTGGGCCCGCGGAGCTCCAGGGAAGGTGAAGGGGGATTCTTCAGCCGCCTCCGCGGGTTGCTCCGCGGGACAGGCGCAGGGGGAGGAGGTCGCGCAACCACCTTGGGTAAGCGGGTCAGATCAGGACGACTTGATCAATTCTGAAGCATTATAACAGGCATCTAAGTCGCTAGTATAGGGCCATTGTGGATGTCAGGGCCACTATCGACATTAGTAATGTCAGAAGGTTCAAGGCTAGCAAGTCAAGGGCAAGTCACCTGCCTGCCACCTGGGCTGGGCAGGTGGGGGGCTGGATCCCTCCACCCTGGCCCGTTGGAGAACGCGCGCGCACGTTTGATGATGCCAGCGCGGATCGCGCGGGTGAAACGCCAGATCCGCGCGGACATGCTGGGAGAATCGGCAACAGATGAAGTCGTAGATACTGTGTAACGCCCCTGCCGCCCGAGGATGTGGCTTCACGGAAGGGAAGGGCTGAGCCGCTGAGGCCAAGGGAAGGGCCGAGCCGAGGTCATGGGCAGTCGGCCTGTGATCGGGTTTTGGCCATCATGGGCCGGAGAGTGCGAGCATTGGCGGTGTGCGAGCGTGCGTGCATGCACAGTCTAAGAGTGGAAATGCCAGTGTGTTGCCATCAAGTCAAGTTAATGTCGAGGGGACATGTTGAAGTTGCTTCACGTGCCGCTGTCAAGTCAGTATGACTATGTCTACGTGCCAGGAGATTGATAGATCCATTGGTTGATTGATTGATTTATTGATTAATGACCATGATGGGATATTCCTGATTTCGCACGGTTTCACTCCACCATCTCCCAACCCAACCACATCGTCTCCCAGATCCGAGGGCAGGATGCAGCCAATCTGCCGCTGACACGTGTCGTGCAGAGGGACATCTGGCGGAACCAGTTCCCTGCTGGGGATTGCACCAACAGGCGCCTCCTGGTTGCTGATTGGGCGAAATCCGCCAAGCACGGCGTTGGCTCACAGGTGGGTGGGTGGGTTCTCTTGTGCGTGTGGCAGGGCGCGCATGGGTTGTGACTGCACCCTCGTGAATGTGCACGTGCCTGGCTCGCCAGTTGCTGTGCATGAGCACACTGCAGACCGTGCTCAACACCATGCTTCTTGCTCCATGCACCATGCTCCATGCACCATGCACCATGCACCATGCACCATGCTCCATGCACCATGCACCATGCTCCATGCACCATGCTCCATGCACCATGCACCATGCACCATGCTCCATGCACCATGCACCATGCTCCATGCACCATGCCATGCACCATGCTCCATGCACCATGCACCATGCACCATGCACCATGCACCATGCTCCATGCACCATGCACCATGCACCATGCACCATGCACCGTGCACCGTGCACCGTGCACCCTGCACCGTGCACCATACACCATGCACCGTGCACCATGCACCATGCTCCATCCACCATGCACCATGCTCCATGCACCATGCACCATACACCATACACCATGCACCATGCACCATGCACCATGCACCACGCACCATACACCATGCACCGTGCACCCTGCACCATGCTCCATCCACCATGCACCATGCTCCATGCTCCATGCACCATGCACCATGCATCATGCACCATGCACCATGCACCATGCACCATGCTCCATGCACCATGCACCATGCTATGTGTTCGGCGCACCACGTGGGCGCACTGTTCTGTGTGCTTGCTGACTCCTTGCGCCCTAAACCCTACACCCCACGCCCCACGCCCCACACCCTACACCCCGCGCCCCACACTCACCAGATCCATTACATGAGTGCGATGCTGAGTCTAGCCATGCGCACCAACCGCACCCTAGTGGATGAACCGGATACATTCGACCGCGCCAACACCCCCGCCTGTGAAGGTGCGTGCATGCCATGGTGCATGGCATGGTGCATGGCATGGTGTATGGCATGGTGCATGGCATGGTGCATGGCATGGTGCATGGCAGGGTGCATGGCATGGTGCATGGCAGGGTGCATGGCATGGTGCATGGCATGGTGCGTGGCAGGGTGCATGGCATGGTGCATGGCAGGGTGCATGGCATGGTGCATGGATGGTGCATGGATGGTGCATGGGATGATGTACTTTCAGAGTACAATCTCCGTAATGGTGCACTGTCCCAACCCAGCAGCCATTGGCAGGGCCCCTCCTTCCTTCCCTTGTTCGTTCCTTCTTCCCTTCTCAAGCTCACCACCCCTCAGCTACCATTCCCCCAAGCCAACCCCATCCCCCTGTTCTCCACCCCAATCCTCTCGTCCCCTCCACCCACCCCCTTCCCTTCCCATTCCCCCTACCGTATCCCATCTCCCCTGCGTCAGCTGTGGGTCACAAGAACCAGTGGGAGTGCTTCTTTTTCCCCATGGTCTCGCCAGCCTGCCAGAAAGCCTATCAACAGGCACTACAGAAGGGCCCCGACAAGATCCCGCGTGGGGGCAACGACTTTTCTGAAGTGGCCGGGCGGAACGATACGATTGTGTTTATTAGTTACCCCAACCCTACACGGCTCTCCATGGAATCTGGCGCAGCAGCGTGCGTGTCAAGGGTAGATTGTGTGGTTGTGCTTCTGTTGCACTGCTGTGAGCTGCACGTGCACGTGCACACGCACGCGCGCGCACACACACACACACACATACACATACCGACATGCTCACGCACGCGCGCACACACACACACATGCGTGCATGTGTAAAACTGGCTTTGTTCGTGGAACTTGTCTAATCTAATGTGTTATCGGGAGCCAGTCTCACCGCACTCCACACCATGCCATCTGACTGCCTCTCGCCATCCATTCCATCCCATCCCATCCCATCCCATCCCATCCCATCCCATCCCATCCCATCCCATCCCATCCCATCCCATCCCATCCCATCCCATCCCATCCCATCCATCCCATCCCATCCCATCCCATCCCATATACCCCAACAACCTCCAATTGAAGCCCAAGGACAAGCTCATGCTTATTTTAGTTCGTTCGCCCTGCACTCTGCAGCTATGAAAGTAACGGATTCCATCTGCTGCGCGCCAAGCTGACTGTCTCTATGTCCTTCCCGCCTCCTCCTTCTCTCTTGCCTTCTTCCCCCCTGCGTCAGCCTGTGGAATGAGGCCGTTTATAAGACGCCCTGCACTGTTCAAATCGATGGCAAACTGACGAATCGGACTGAACGTCTGCGCAAGGTAGGCAGACAGCCTTTCTGTTTGATTGATACAAGTGCAATGGAATGAAACTTCTGCCATGGGCAAGCTTACTGTGGTAACGCGGATTGCCAACTGACCAATCCTGCTGAACCTGCTCAGACCAATCTCCGATTCCCTCCCCCCTTCTCCCCTCGCTTTCTGCCCCCAGGGGGTGCACTGGTGGCGTGGGCGCAGGTAGTGAGGCTCAAAGCTGTTTCAGTGACACGGCCGTTTCACTGGCACCCTGATTTTTCAGTGACCCTAATGTTTTGCCCGTTGCCCTTGCCAGGTGCGTTGGTGGTGCGGAGCGGACATAGGCAGTGCGCTTCATGCTGCACGTGTTCTTATGCCTTCCTCTTCCCTTTCAGAGCCCCAATGCGCACTGGTGGCAGAAATTGTTCTCATAATTCCCCTCTGTACTTCTCCCCTGTCAATTCTCCACCCGCCATGCCCCCAGGTGCACTGGTGGCGGGCACAGGCAGTGCGCTTCCTGCTCCGCTGGCCCTCTGCCCACCTCTGCCACGTGTCCAACAGGGAGAGGCACCGTGCGTTCGGCATGATCGCAGCAAATCACGTCGCGCAGTTCCTGCAGACCCAGTCAAAGGCCCTCTCCTTCCTCTCTCGCAGCACTGCCACCGCTTCTGCTGATGCCACGGGCAACGGCAAAGTGATTGCACCTGTCTGGGAAGCACGGGTGCGAGAAGTGTTGGAGAAATCGGCAGCAGCTAATTCCCCCATGTTCTTCCAGTTAGACCCATCTGGTGCTGCTGCTGCTGGTGCTGCCACAGGGAGCAACGGGGACAAAAGCAAGGACGGCGACAGCCCAGTGGGAGTGCATGAGCCGTACATGCCGCGGCCTATAGTGAGCCTGCATGTGAGGGGTACAGACAAGTATTCAGAGATGGGGCTGAGCTCCCTGGCCTCGCATATCTTCCACATGAATCGCCTCCGCCCTCATGCGCCGGACCTCTGGCATGTCTGGCTCAACACAGAGACACAGGTCAGCTCGCTGCAGCAACAATGTGTTTGCCATGATGCAACTCTTTCTGCTGAGATTCCTTCACATCATGCTCGCCCCCATGCTCTCCCTTATGCTCCTCCCTTATGCTCTCCATCCGGCTTTTCAGTCTCCTCTTCTTCGTCTCCACTGATGGGTATGCTTTTCTAGCCCCAGCCAACATTCTTCTCTCCTCTGCTCCTTTTCCTCGCGCCTTCCTTTTCCTCTGCACACCACACAGGCCAACATAGACCGAGCGGCGGAGCACACGTCATGGACGTTCTTTTACTCGTCGAATGCACGGCAGCAGGACAAAGCGGGTTCGCTGCGGCAGTACGAGCACGACCAGTCGGTGGCGCTGAGCTTAGCCAGTGTGCTCATCGCTGCGCAGTGCGATTATTTCGCCGGCAGCCTTGGATCTAATTGGAGCCGCCTTATGAATGAGCTGCGCTCCACCAATGGCCGCCTGACCGCGGGGTTTATTGCTGACAATGTGGAGGAGTGGTGATGTACTATGCTGGGTTTGGATTGGATGTGAAAGGGTGAGGAGGTTTGCCAGGGAAAGGGATGTGTCACCTCTCTCGTGTCAGCAGAACGGTTGGGTATTTATTGGTGCGTCATGCCATTGAAATGCTTTATTGGTAGTTTTGCTTGGTGCATCTAGCATGATTGCAAGGCTTGTATGATTATTCGGCTACCTGAAGCTGTGGGTTGCAAAGTGGCCATTCCATAATTTATCTACGTGGTCTTGTTGAGGGTTTGCCAGCTTTGTGGTGGTGACAGTAGATAGATTTTCACATGTTGAGCGTTATTTATTAGCATCTCCCTAGCGGTGTACATATAGATCGAGCACAACACATTCTAGATGTACATTGCCGAGATACTCCCTAAACAGTAGGTATCTCGCTCGGTGCTGGCCGGCCCATTTCAACTGCAACAGATACACACATTTCTTTTTCCAGTCGCCATTTGATTCCACCATCATCTCTCACCTCACGCTTGCTAGTCACCGATCTTTGCGCGGCACCTTGTCCGTTGTTTGCGGGGATGGTCGCCAGATCCTCGCTCTCCTGCCTATAGTAGGATGTTACCAATCACAGGATCTAAACATCCTGGTGTGGTGTTACCTTTGCCTCCTCGTAGCTCCAAGTCGTATCTGATCTGCAAATTGTGAAGGTGTTACGTTTCGTTTCAACACCTTCACATGCGGAACTGTAACTTATAAGCCGCCTCCCTCCTTCGGCACCGTCCGCTGCAGCAGCTGCTGCCGTCGGTCCGCCGCCAGTCACTGCACTGCAGTCCACTCTCAATCTCTCACAATCAGCCTTAGACGAGGCATCGTGTGATTGGTAACATCCTACAATAGGCATGCATTCGCGGCGTTTGCCAGACCTCAGCGTTAGGAGAATAGCAGTCGCGCTGGTCGTATGGCTCTCCGTCACCTGCGTCGTCATTCGCGCGCATGTGAGTGTGGCCGCTTCGATCAGCATACCCGCGTTTTACGCGCGCGCGAAAGGAACAGACGATTGTCGTCTGGTTCCTACGGCCGAACCCGTTACTCTGATCCGCCAAACCCTTTCCCCCCGCCGTGCCCTCCTTGTTCTCGCGCATCGCTTCCCGTCCTGCTTCTTGCTTACCTCACCTCCTCCTTCCGGAATTCGGGAACTAACATGTGCGTCGATCTCTAAGAAAGTCACACTCTCTCTCTCTGCCCGCCGCCCTCCCCACCATCCCCGTCCCCCTTTCCCCTACCCTCCACTTCTCCCCATGCCCCCTCGTCCTCGTTCCCGTCCGTGTCTTCCGCGTGGCCACCCGCCGGTGAGCCAGACACACGCCTCGGAGACGGGACCAGGCATCCCGAATCCGTTCGACTTCGCCTTCCCCGACCACCTGTGCGGGTCGCTGCGCGAGACCTACATGACGATTAACGACCGCGTCCGCGCCGCCTGCAAGGTCGAAGCGCAAGCAGCCGTCGCCGCAGGCACTGCTGCTTCCGCCGGTTCGTCTGCCGCCGCCGCTGCTGCCCCTCCCGCCGCCGCTCCGCCGTCCGCTTCCCCCGCGACCCCCGGCACCTCCCCCGCCTCCGCGTCCTCCGCGCCGTCGCAATGCCGCACGCTGATCTTCGACTCGGGGCACGACGGGTTCGGCGACACGGTATTCGGCCTCGCGTCGACGTTCGCCGTGGCGCTGCTCGACGATCGCGCGTTTCTCATGCGGCAAGAATGGCTCCCGTTCGCGTTCGAACCCGCGACCTTCGACTGGCGAGTCACGGAGGACATTCCTCTGACCACGTACTCGCCGCAGATCATGGACCCAGACAAGCCCCCCAACGCGTCGTACGCGCGCCTGAGTCTCTACAATAAGAACGTCGACCCGGAGGAGTATTTCGGGAAGCTCAAGGGGATCTCGCACATTGGACTGGTGTGGAACCGCGGGATTTTGTTTAATCTGCTGACTAAGGCCAAGGGCGCGTGGGCGGAGAGGTTCAAGGCGATCGGGATGACGCCGCCGTATGCCTTTGCATGTGTCATGCGGTTCCTGCTGCGGTGGGTTGTTGTTGCTGTTTCTTGGGGGGAGGGGGTTTGAGTCGACTCAGAGAGAGAGGAGCGAACGGGATGACGCCGCCGTATGCCTTTGCATGTGTCATGCGGTTCCTGCTGCGGTGGGTTGTTCTTGTTGTTTTTGGTGGGGGTGGGAGGGTGGGAGGGGGAGAATTGGGGCTGGTGTGGTGGAGACGGGAAGTGGTGGGAGTGGGAGGAAGCAGGAAGGGCTAACTGCATTCTGCGTTTGTTTCCGAGCAGGGTTTGTTGCGTTCCTTCTCCCTCTTGTTTCCCACTCTCTCCCCTCTCGCATTTCTCCTCCCCACCCCCTTTCCCTCTCCCTCCCCTCACTCCCCCTCCCTCCCCACCCCCTTTCTCTCCCGCTGTTTCTCTCCCCTCACTTCCCACCCCGTCGTTCGCTCCTCTCTTCCTCGTTTGCACCTCGCCCCCCTCCCCCACACCCCTGACCGCAGGCCCAAGCCGGAGGTATGGCAACTAATGAGGGACATAGCGGGGCAGGTGCACGTGCCGCATGGGATCAGCATCGGCATCCACACGCGTGTGAAGGATCTCAAGGTGTGGGAGCACTCGACCAAGGACGGCGTTCCCAAGGTGCTCAACGCGGTTGAGGTGGAGGAGCTGTATGTTCAGAACAAGCTGTCGTTTGAGTGCGCACAGGTGAGAGGGTGGGAGAGGGGAGGAAGGGGGATGAGAGGGCGGAAGACAGGGAGGGGGTGGTGAGAGTTGGGAGCAGGGAGGGGGTGAGAGAAGGGGGGGGGACAGCAGCGGGGGCCTTGTGCTAACACTGCAGCCACTGTTCTCGGCTTGCCCTTGTTGTAGGCCTGCACAGCCTGTTGAGTCTTTACGCGCTGCCACTCCGCCATTCGCCGAGTAGTCTCAGTGGTGCTCATCTTCCCTTGATGATGTGATCGGCCCTACCAATTCCAACGTACCTCGCTCTCTCTCTCGATCTTTCCTGACACATTTCCCCCCTCTCCCCCCCCCCCCTCCTCCCCTCCTCCCCGCCTCACTCCCCCTTCCCGCTTGCCTGTATGTTGTTTCTTGGTATCATGTGCCTCTTAAAGGCCATCGTGAGGATGGTTTTGAGAAGTCTCAGAATATGTTGTTTCTTGATGCCCTGACTCTTCCCAAAGTTAATCTCCTGCTTTCTAATCCATGCGTTTCTGCTTCTGCCCCTGTTGTGTCCTTTTCTGTGTGCTGTATGCTGTACGATGCTTGCTGCGGCTGGATGCTATGTGCGGGAGGCTGTTTTTCTCCTTGTGACTTTGCTGCCTGACTGTGCGCTGTGTGTTGCATGTTGCATGCTGCATGCGCTGTCCTACATGCTCTGTGCTGCACGTGGTGCACGTGGTGTGGTGCATGCGGGGTGGTGCCATCAGGAGTTGGAGCGCTGGTGGAGCCCCTCCTCGCTCAAGATCAAGTGGTTCTTCATATGCAACTCTGCTCAGCTCAAAGTAGCCGTGCACGACAAATTCCCCGACAAGGTACCCCCACACTTATCCTTTCCACTTCAGCATTCTGCGAGTTTCGAGTTGCCTTGAAACTCCTTTCGTTTTGAGGCGCTCTCAATAACTCGGCAAATTCCCCAACAGGGTACTTTCAGACCTCTTGGCAGGTCACCAATATGCTGTCAATGTCCACTTCTCTTAACCCTAAACCCCTACATCCCACGTGTCTTCAATGCTGTCCATCTTCCATCTTCCATCTTGCCTTCTCTTTGCAGCTGCCGCCAGGCCTCGCGCTGGCAACACCCAGCACCCGTGCTGTTTCCAACCCATCACCTCCCACTCTCTCCGCGCTCCCCCCCCCCTTCCTTTCCCCCCCGGCTCACCCTCCGCCCGCCACCAGGTGGTGATCACAGACTTTGTCCCACGGCACGTGGCAATCAGCAAGGATCCTAACTCCACCTCGCACACCGCAGCCCCTTCATGGTACCAGGAGACCGTTGCCGAGTGGCTGCTCCTCGCCTCCTCCGACCTGCTAGTCATCCCCGAGTCGGGCTTCTCCCGCTCTGCTGTCATGTACTCGATGCGCCCAGGGAGGGTTTTCATGCCACAAAAGTGCCGCCCCGATGCCCCTGTGCCTGTTGGGGACCTGGCTACCGTTGGGTGTGGTGTGTGAGGTGATGATGTAGTGCGGGTTTGTAAAAGGATGGTGTGTATATGGTGTATGTGGCATTGCTCGGGTCACTGCGCTCTGTGGATTTGGGGTGCACACACGCGCAGTTGTCGTCTGGTTTGTTGATTTTTTGTTTGGATTCCACAGCACTTAATGAGTGAAGGTGGGGCACGAAACAGGACGTTGACAATAATGGGTGCCCTCCACTCCAGTGCTTACAGGGACAAACAATAAACCATCACAACCCAGCATATGTGTCACAATCTCTGCAAAGTCGGCTTACAGTGCTGAACAAGAGCATGCCTGTAGGGGGTGATTTGGAAGATTTTGAATTTGAACAAATGTGCACTTGGTCCGAAGAGAATTCTAGTACACCCTCATTCTCGTTAGACTGGCATATGTTATACTGACAGGGACGCTTAGTGTAGCCGCAGCGGACCAAAGAAGGTCCTATCACATGCGTTATACTGACAGTTTGACCCAGGGCGTTTAGTCAAGGTTCTATACGTTCTAAAATGGTAATGCTGTTTTCTGAACGGTTAAGACAGTTATTCAGCGTTAACGGAATTTTACGGCCCAAGTCTGGTTTCGTCGCCTCGTGCGACTTGGCCCGCAACCGAGTTATCTCACCAGCCCGCTACGTCCAAACACTGTAGCCACTGCTTCCGCCGGTGAGAAGACTGAGAATAAGGGTGTAGTCAATCAGAGCAATATTACGGGCTCCACACTTCTTCATACACCCTGTTTCTCGACCCTCTCACCTTGCGCGATTCGCTGCTACAGTGCGGTCAGGTGCCATAAACCGTATGGCTGAAACCTGCGGGCAAAGCCGCACCAGCTGACGGAGTGGTACTGGGGGCAAAAATTTTCTTTATCGCTGTATACCCTTTTCAACCGTTTTGAAACGCTTTGTTAATGTTCTTTACCATGCAGCATCCTAGCTAACCGCTTTCTTGTGAATGTGCTTGTACCGTCGGTGATAAGACCATTTCAAACGTGGTGACGTTCTACAACCAGTGCATGTTCTGCAACCAGATGCTCTGCTAGCGCGAAACAGGGTGTAGTAGTAAGAAGTGCGAAGAGGATGATAGGCTTGAACAGCTGGTTTCCTTTCACCAAATGTGCACGCGTTGTTGGACTCACCCACAGCGGAGCTTGGCTGAACCAAACCAGGAAGGGAGTCAAGTGTTTTGGTTTGGGAGGATAGGCTCGGATCAAGACTCACCCCTTGCCACTGAGCTGAGCACAACATGTGAGACGTGTACTCTGCTTATCGCCATCTGATAAGAAGAGATGGGCTCTCCGCCAATCTTGTACAATGACGTGTCATCGATGACTTGACAATAATTTTGACTATGGATGACAGTGCTAAGTACCCAGTACAGGCATTGTATACTCAGCTTTTTCTCGTGCACAATCGTAATATACGTATGCTTGCTAAGCACGTGCAGATCTGTCAGTTGTTGTACACAATCTAGGGCCGCAAAAATTGTTCCTTTTCTCGTGCACTCTGGTTAAGTCAAAAGTCGAGACCTTTTTTGTCGTAACCTGCAAATACATCAGGTGTGGCTGAAAATTTTGTGGGCGTGGAGCACTGGTTCTTGGCAAGCTTCAGTTCTTGACAAGCTTCATTCCCACTTGAGAGGCGACAGATGCTGTAACAGCCGGGATTTTTCATTAGGTTCAGGCAAGAATCTGCTTCTTGTTGTACCTGCGAATATTTCAGACAAGCTTCGAAACAACCACCGAGTAAACAGTAGACCCATGAAAGGTTCAGGCGAACTGTGGCTGGCATGGCACAGCCTCCGCGGAACAACGCCGCTCCTTCGGGACTGAACGATCAGAGGGTTCGCGCGAACATTTGCGCCCCCCAAACCAGCAGGTCCCCTTCGGCTTCGCCTCCCCGCCACAATTCTTTCCTGCCCACTGGTCAACAGCACCGCACCTTTCCTCCACAACCCTTCCTCACTCAGTACGATTCATTTCATAGGCTGCCCAAAAATAACTCTACAAGATGTTTCCCCTCAGCTCTCGGAGGAACCAATCAACGCAGCCGAAGATGTCTGACGGTGTGCGGGAAAAGGGCGAGCTTCGAGGGAGAGGGGAACAGGGGGGGAGTGACGTGACGGGACTTTCCCCCCTGCCACGATATCCTTTTCCCATTCAAACCCATTCCAACCAAATCCAATTCCTGATGGACATCAGGTCAAGTCCGGTCACCAGTGGTGTGGTGGTGGTGGTGCTGGTGCAGCCGAGTCGTCTCTTCACTCCCTCCAGTATCGCAATTCGATTTTCATTCCAAGTGCTCGAAGTTTTGTTGCTCATTCTAGTTGTTCAAGCTCGCCCATGACCTTCACCTCAGTTTGACGTTCTGTCCGTCAACTGTGCGAAACGTAGGTCGTACGAACTCGATCTCCCCGTTTTCACTCCCTGTGACTTGATGTCGCTTACTTCTAGCAGCAATTGTCCTCTACGACTTGAATCTGCTCATGATCTCGCCATGAAACAATCAGAATCAATGGCTCCCTCGTCGGGAAACCCCGCTAGCCTAATCTCCAGATCACCTGATCAGTCGATTGCCACGTTCAACCTCTTTAGTAGTGATATTCCGACGTCATTCCTTTCACCGCCTCCTTTCCTCCTCCCTCCGAATGCTCGTATCGCGGCGTGCAAACGAGAGAACCCCTTCTCACTTCGATCATTCGCCTCCGCTATCCGACCATCGACAGTGCTCCTCTATCTCCTCGTCCTCTGCATCGCGTCCCTCGTTTTCCATGTCGCCGACACAAACTCAACCTCAACAGGCTTCCATTTTCGTTCACATCCGCTCCTTGACGAAAGTGATGGAACCGATGAAAGTTCCCGCACCATTCAACGAGAAGTTGGTAGTACCGCGTACCCTGCTCTAGCAATCGGGCCGACTTCAATAATTCGAGGGTCCTTCCCTCTCAGTTTCACAAACACGAGCCGCAGATTGAGCGACTCGCCGTCCGTGGCCGTGGAAAGCCGCGGCGCGCTTTCTGGGGGGGGTTTCCGCTTCTTTTTTGCCCCCTCAAGCTTATTAACAGAGCGCGATCGGCGGCGTCCGATGCGGTGGTCGCCGCTCTCGTTCTGGCGCAGTCCCATGCTTCCACGTGTACGACAAGCCGCCGATCTCGCGTCGTCTGCAGAGGCGTCGCACGATCGCGCCCGCGGAGTCGTCGCTGCTGCGGTAACTCAGCAAGAAACGAGCGGACGAGACTTCGAAGCGCATGATGCGGAAAATGATCTCGCCAATCCGACGCGGCTTATGGCGCACACGAACCGCCACCATGACCACGCATCAATTCCCGACCCAGTCATGCCAACGCATCACCGCCATATCGAGTCCGACGCGGATCGACCCGGTTCAACAGCTGCTAGCAGCCTCTCCGCGTTAGAAAATAATCACGGTCCACTGTCACGACTACAGCAGAGCCATCAAGGGGAGCGTAGCGCGCTGCGGCGCGTGCTTTTCCAAAAGACCCCCACGGCTGCTGCCGTAGCGGCAGCTATGGAGACGGCGGCGGCTGCGGACGTGGAGGCTGCTGCTGCAGTGGCAGCGGCGGTGGCGGGAGTGGGTCTGGAGAGCGGGGAGAGTGGCGCGGCGAGGGAGGCGGCAGAAGCAGCAGCGGCTGAGGCCGACGAGCATGCTGATAGTGTGGATGCTGCTGCGGCGGCCCAGGCGGCGGCGGCGGCGGCAGCCCAGGCTGCTTCGGCTCATAAGGCTGCTGCGAATCATGCTTCTGCGTCGTATGCTGCCCCTGCTTCTGGGGCTGGTGACATAGTTTCTAGCTGTGCAGGTCCCACTGAAGGGATTCCACCGGCGCATGATGAGTCCGCCCGACACCAAAGATCCGATTTTGTTGCAGGGACAGCAGCAGGAGGAGAAGGAGCAGCACGAGAAGCACCAACAGAGAGGAAGTTTTCCAACATAGCACCCTCCCCATCCTCCACTTCTTCCTCCTCCTCCATGCCACCCTCGTCCTCCTCCTCTTCTTCCTTGTCCCTTTCCATCTTCACCGCACCAACAGCACACATGCTTGCGACAAACACACCCATGAATGAGACTCTTGTGCGCCGCTCCATCCTCTCCTGGCTCAGACTGCGACCCACCCCGCAGATTTACCTGCTCGGGGACCACCCGAGCCTGCACAACCTGGCTCGGCAGTTCCCGAACCACGTGCATGTGGAGCCTCGTTTGGAGAGCTCGTTTGACGGTGTGCCTCTGTTCAGCTCGGTGGTTGCAAGAGCCGAGGCTATCGGAGCTGCCAACAGTGCTAGGCGAAGAGAGCAGCCGAAACGGACGGGAAGTCGATCGCAGCAGCAGCAGCAGCAGCAGGATGTGATTTTGGTGTTGGATTCTCGTGTGATTCTACTGAATGATGTCGTGGACGCTGCGCGAGCTATGATAAGGTTGTCTAGAAGCAGAGGCGTAGGAGGAGGAGCTTTGGCCAGAGCGAAAGTGCAAAGAGGGCGAGAGCTGTTGGCCGGGGAGGACGGTGAAAGGAGAAGGAGACGGATGGAGAAGCGAGGTGGGGAAAGGGGGGATTGGAAGGGTGGGATTCCAAGACGATGGTTGCAAGAAGATGAATCGACGGGTGAGAATAGGCCAATGGTTTTGGATTTTGATGAGGAGGATGAGGAGGAGGTGAAGCTATGGTTGCAACGCCAGCAGCAGCAGCAACAGCAGCAGCAGCAGCAGCAGCAGCAGCAGCAGCAGCAGCAGCAGCAGCAGCAGCAGCAGCAGCAAGAGCAACAACAACCGCAACAACAGCAGCAGCAGCCGCAGCAACAACAAGGCAAGGAGCCAGGGCATCAACAGTTGCTATGGCAGCAGACACATGTGAGCAGTCAAGATGTCCGCGCCAGCAGCAGTAGGACACAGCGTTACGAGCCACATGTGCCATTACCATACAGCTCGCTCCTTCTACCGAACTTGAATCACGAGCTAACAGCCTCTGGAGGAGGATGGGTGTTGGTTTCAGCTCCCAGGCTCCTCCGCCGTCTCCCCTTCGCCTTTGACCATCTCCCGGACCACATCCAGCCCCGGAAGCACCGAGGCGCCCAGGAGCTCTTCGAGCCTGAGGTTCGGGAGTTTGTGGTCCGGAACTCCGTGGTGGAGTCTGGTTCGGGAGAGCTGGCGTTTGTGATGTGGAATCATGTGACGCGGGGCGAAGCGCGAGGCCGCAGCAGATCACTCAGAGAGGGTGGCAGTAGCAGCAGTGACAGCAGCGGCAGCAGTGACAGCAGTTATACCAGTGATAGTTCCAGCAGACTGTTGTTTCCCGACAGTCTACCCCTCTTACCGGATCCCGTTCCGCCCTTTGTGTGGGGCAGGGGGGGGCACTGGCAGTGGCTGCTGCGGCAGGTGGTGGTGGGGAGGCAGAGAGTGGCGGTGGATGCAACGAGTGCAGTGACAGCAGCGATGATCATAGATGGTGCTCCTGTGGAGAGTGCGGAGCATGGGGAACGCGGTCACAGCCAACTGTGGCTGGCTGGGGGGTGTGAGCGCGGGGGGGTTGGGGCGGATTCTGGCGAGAACGGGGGAGGGGAGGGGAGAATGATGGGGAAAGGGGATGGGGGGAGAGGTGTGTGGGCGGGAGGAGGAGGAGGAGGGGCGTGGCACTGTGAGGTGAACAGGCGGTTGGAGGAGCAGGGTGCGGAGCAGCAGAGGCGGGTGCTGGATGAGGGAACGTTGCGATTGCACGCTGGCAGTAGCAGCAGTGATGAGGGAGGAGGCAGCAGTGGAGGTGTGGATGGCAAGACAACAGGCGGCAAGAGGAAGGAGGTTCCTCAGTTCTCGGTGTCGGTCCCTTCCACCATGGACCTGCCTTGGACTGCCATGCCCTGCCATGACACCATGAGTGAGTGGCATGAGAGGGTGGCATGAGCGAGTGGCATGAGTGAGTGGCATGAGCGAGTGGCAAGAGTGAGTGGCATGAGGGAGTACTAACGTCATGTACATTCTGAAGGTGCATATGTGCGCGTTTATGTGCATGTGCATGCGTACATGAACGAGCATGCATGCTCATAACCATGTTTGCCCACTTTCGGTACCACACGGATGGGCCTGCTAACCCACAAAGCTTGCCACACCTATGGCCATGCATGCTCCCTCGCCTGCCTTCGCCCATTCATGCCTGCTGGACTGACCATGTACCTCTGAATTCATCCTCCACCTTGCTTGCTTCCCCTGGACAACACACCCACATCTCTCTTCCCCTCTTCCCTCCAATATGTCATTATTTTTTTGTATCAGCCCTGGCCATCCCCTTCTCGTCTCCCAACCCCGCCTCCCCTCCTCCTCGCCCACCTCGACCCTTCCTCGCCCACAATCATCAACCCCCCCTTCCCTGCCCCTCTTCAAATCCCTCCCCCAACATCCCCCCCAACAGCGTCTACATCCGTGTGCCTGCTCCCCCGCGTGCGCCCCTCCTCCTGCCCCTGTGAGCTCACTCCCTACCACGGCCGCACAGCATCGGACAGCATACCCGCCCCCCAAGACCCCCTCTACTTCACCTGCAGCGTGCCGGCTGCCCTCGCCTTGCACTCCGAGTCCGCCCGTGCTGCATCAGCCAACCTCTCGGGTTCTGGTCCCACTCCCGCTGACTCTCATTCCAGTGGGTTCGAAGGCCAGACCTCTGTTTCTGCTGCTGTAGGAGGGGGAGCAGGAGAGGCGCAGGGGGGTGTGGGAGAGGGAGGGGGGGCGGTGGTGAGGGAGGGGCATGCGCTGCAGGTGCTGCTGCCTGTGGTGGCGGACAGGCATGGCATGGTGGTGCTGGTGGCTGTGTCGGACGGGGACCAGGACATGCTGCTCAGCTTCGTGTGCATGTGAGTCGCACGCATGGCTGTGGGTATTGGCGTGGCTATGGGCATGGGCACGGGTGGGTATGGCATGGGCATGGGCATGGGCATGGGCATGGGCATGGGCATGGGCATGGGCGTGGGCATATGCGTGGGCATGGGCATGGGCATGGGTATGGGCATGGGCGTGGGCATGGGCATGGCCTGGTCATCTCGTCTTCGGTCATTCGTACTGTACCCATCGACATGTTAAAGACCACCAATCCCACGTCCATCGCCTTTGAACCTCCTTCTATCCCTTTCTTCCAAAGTGCTTTCTTTCCCCAACCTCTTCTCCCCATCCTCCCCTCACTCCCATCTTCACCGCCACTCCCAAACTGCCACAACCATCACGCCAATCGACCTTGCATCTCCTCTCCCCTTCCTCATCCCTCCCGCCCACCCTTTCCTCCCCCACACCCACGCCCCTGCCCCCCAGGCTGCGGCATCTCAACATCACCAATTTCCTCATCGCAGCAACAGACCTCCCGATCCTCTCCTTCGCCTACCTCCACTCCCTCCCAGTCTTCCACCTCCCATCCCTCGACACCCCACTCTCCTCCTCCTCCTCCACCTCCTCCCTCTCCCCAGCCCACTGCACGTCCCTCACCTGTCGCCGCCGCCACTCCATGCACGTGCGCTCGCGAGCAGCTCTAGCCATAGTGCGCCTCGGCTACCACGTCGCCTCCACGCTTGTCGACACAGTCTGGTTCCACAACCCGCTCCCGGACCTCCTAGCGTTCGGGCCCAATGCCGTGGCCATTCAGAGCAGCGTGACTGACGTAGAGCAGCCGGCGAATAGCGTCGAGGGCACGAGCACCATGAGCACAGGGTTTTTCTTTGTAAGGGGAGAGGAGAAGTCTGCCGCGGCGCTGGCCGCGGTGGTGGCGCATGCGGGGGGGAGCCGGATGGCGGAGCATCTGAGCTTCTTCCGTGTGCTGTGTGGGGAGAACGGGCAGCTGCTGGTGAGTTGCCAACTTGCCAATAACCACACCACGTTAGCCCTTGCACTTTCTTGCTGCTCCGGACTTGCTTGTGCACTTCTTGCAGCCTCTGCCACTGCTTACATCCTCGCCTATCCATACTCGGTTCAGTCATGGTTTCACTGGTCAGTGGACCCCATTGCATTATTCGCTCTTCTCCTCCCACTCATTTTGCTGCTGCTCGTTTCGACCCCCCCCCCCCCCCTTGCCCTCACCTCCTCTTCCACAGTTGGGCTCAGACGCCTGCCGGTCACCGTCAGGGGTGAAGACACGGCTGTTGAACCGCCGCCATTTCCCCACAGCAGCCATGTTTGGCCTGTGGGACGCGGAGAACGTGAGAAGGGCGTGTGGGCGCATCGGGTGCCGCGTGCTCCCCAGCGACCACAAGCTAGGTTAGTGCTGCTCCCTGATTTGGCCTTGTCTGGTTTTTCTTGGGTGTCCATTCGGGGTTTCGCTGTGTCTGGAATGGTGTGCCTGCGTCTGCGCCTGTCCGGTTGCCGCGTGGGTGGATGTGCTTTGAGTACATGTGCATGCACTTTTACGAGCGCAACGACTACCACTTCTGAGGATTGATCTGGAATTTGAGACTAGGAGAGGGGTGTGGGGGGGAAGAAGAGGGTATGGAAGATGTATGGTTCTGACTGCTCACACATGTTTCTCACCTGCTTTCGTTCATACTCTCAATAACTCATACCAAGATTCCACCAGCCCGTCTCGAGCCCTTATTCTCTTGTCATATGTGTTCATTCCTTGGTGCCTCTCAACAGCAGATAAGGCGGAGAAATGCAGACGGTTGCAAGAACGTGGGCTGTGGTTCTTAGATTCAGCAAAAGGAACGTGTGTGTACAGATAGCACTGTGCTTGGATTATTCTCAATGCTTCGAGCTGCATTGTCATATGGAATCATTATTATGGGCATTCAAGTCCTTCCACTGTAGCCATTCTCTTCTGGTTCAAAATGTGACTCGAAGAAGCTTGATAGCTAAATCCATACCATAAATGTTATCTACAGTGATGTTTATGTACTTGCAGCTAACTGTACATTGGAAAGTATATTACTGCTCAAACACATCTACTTGAGAAGAGTCCAGTTTACAACCATGTTTCTGACCATTTAGAGTGACAGCCCCCTTGAAATGGTAGATTTGTTGGGAATAGAAATTGGATCGTTGCTGAAATCTTCCTACCATATGGTCACTTCCTCTTTTCTTATCCTCTCTTCACTTTTTATCACGTTCTCTTAGAGATAAAACTGGAAATGGTAGCGCCATCACATGCGGAATCCCATTGGGCGGTCAACGTGGAACATGTGCGAAGTGGTGTGCTTTGCCCGAAAAACGGGTTACACGCCCTGAATCGCCAGTGGAACTGCAATGCGCACACCCCTCTCCGTCCACATGGCTGGTAAAAAGCAGTGACCAGCCTCACTCGATCACCCTCAGGGGGTTGGACGGGTCTCAGTAGGGTGCAGTGCGGTCACGAGTCTGAGATTCAAGACTGCCGATTCCCATCCCTCTCCTACCCAAGCCACTTCTTGCCGTCATATTAGGATCATAAAATGCGCCATCTATTGCGACACCTCGTCAAGCGCCACGTTTCCCCCATGGCGGTGTTCAGAATCCTCATTGCCTTCTGTATCGCTACAATAGGTGTCGTCCCAGCTACGGCGTTTTACCTCCCGGGAATGTACCCCAAGGCACACGCTCCTAATGATACTCTGAACGTTAACGTTAACTCCTTGACGTCTAACGAGACCGGACTGTCGTTTAGCTACTACAGCCTGCCGTTCTGCCAGCCGGAGGAGGGAATACAGCGACTGGACGAGAATTTTGGCGAGGTATTGATCGGAGACCTGATCGAGAACTCGCCGTTTAAATTCCGCACGCTCGCCAAGCAGCGCGCCGTGAAGGCATGCGACGTGGGTCCCCTCACCGAAGCCGACGTGGAAGATCTCAAGTCCAAGATCGACGGCTTTTATCACGTCAATTTCCTCCTGGATAATCTCCCAGTTACGCTCTTCTCCCTAGAAGACAACGAAGGTGACATTCTAACCGGCATCCCCATCGGTTATAATCACAACGGCCAGTACTACCTCTACAATCACATCCTTTTCAAGGTCCTGGTGCATGAATACGTCGAGTCGCCCGCCGCACTGGCCGGAATGTCGATGGGGTATTCGTCCGTTGACGTTTTTCCTCAGGAAGGAAGCTACGCAGATCAGGGTTCATCCCCGAACGGCACAGCGAACGGGTTCGTGGTCGTTGGCTTCGAATCCGCGGCTTGCAGTATCCGCCGCTCTCCGGATCCCGAAATCCCGCGCTACTCGACGCTCGATCCGATCGATTGTTTCAGAGGCGATCCGCAGCCCATAACTCCCGGGGAATCCATTGTCGTCTCCTTCGACGTGCTGTGGGAGAAAAGCCCGATTCAGTGGGCAAGCCGCTGGGACGCGTACTTAAAGATGCGCGGCGATAAGGTCCACTGGTTCTCCATTCTCAACTCCCTCGTCGTCATCTCCTGCCTGGCCGCCGCGGTTTTCGCGATTCTCCTCCGATCCGTGCATCGCGATTTAGCGAGGATCAACAGCAGGGACAAGGAGGAGGCCCAGCAATTGGCGGACGAAAGCGGGTGGAAGCTGCTGGTGGGGGATATTTTCCGGTCGCCTCCGCATCCCGAGGTGCTGTGCATTATCGTGTCGAATGGCTCGCAGCTGCTCTGCATGGCAGTGGTTACCATCTTCTTCGCAGCGCTGGGGTTCATGTCTCCTGCGTCCAGGGGTGCTCTGCTTATGGGCATGGTGCTCTTTTACCTGCTTCTCAGCGTCGTTTCTGGTTACGTCGCCTCCCGCATGTGGGTAACACTTACTGGCGCCACTGTTGCCAGTGCCGGCGCCAGCAACAACAGCAGCGACGGTGGCAGCAGCAGCAGCAGTCCTCTTTCGAAAGAAGCAGCAGCGGCAGTTAGGGTTTTGGCAATCAAAGTAGCATGTTTTTTTCCTGGGATCTGCGCCGTGACCCTCCTAGTCATCAATCTGTTCATCTGGGCCACAGGTAGCACAGGCGCCGTGCCGTTCTCTCTGTTCTCCTACCTCTTCCTCCTCTGGTTCGTCATTTCCGTCCCTCTTACCATCCTCGGTTGCAACCTTGGTCTGAAGGAGCAAAAAATCGCCTATCCGGTGCGGACAAATCAAATCCCAAGGGAGATACCGGACCCGAATTACATACCCCACTTGGGCTTTCAGGGCTACGGAAGCTACACCCCCTGGTTACTTATCCTAGCTGGGGGCGTCCTCCCATTCGGCACCCTGTACATTGAGCTCTACTTCATTATGTCCTCGATATGGATGCAGCGGGTGTACTATGGGTTCGGATTCCTCTTCGTCGTCCTTATCCTGCTCATGCTGGTGTGCGCAGAAGTGGCTGTAGTCTTCACATACTTCCAGCTCACCATGGAAGATTACCGCTGGTGGTGGCGCAGTTTATTCGCTTCAGGGTCGGTTGCGTGTTACGTGTTCCTCTTCTGTGTTTTGTACCTTGTGGTGGACTTGCGACACATGCGCAGCCTGCTGTCTGCCACCATATTCCTCTGCTACTCCCTGCTCATGTCGCTGGCGATTTTCCTCGCAACTGGGACTGTGGGATTCTTCGCATCCGCTTACTTTGTGTACTATATTTTTTCATCCGTCAAGCTTGACTAGTGTATGCTCGTTGTGGGGTGGAGATTCGATGATATGACTTAAATCTTCTAAATGTGCAGAACATAGTGTGGTAGTAAACTGCATTCCAAATGCTACCATACCATTTCTTGATGATGTGTATTAGGCATTATGAACAGCCATGCAAGTACAGCCAGAATTATTTAAACACCTTGTATGTTATGAAGTTGAACACTCGCAGCGATGTACTACTTATATGCGAGTGTGTGTTATCGGAAGTCGAGGTCAGTCAAAGCCAGCATGAAATGTCGGCCAATCAAACGCCTTGAAAATCCGTTGACGGCATATTCTTCTGTCCCGTGTGATCCGCCGAAAACTAGGTTGGGGGTTCTTCCCACTGAAACCCCGTTGACGAAAGATGATTGGACTGCTGCTCAGGGCTGACGATTTCCACTCCACATGGCCCTCGTGCCAGCTCAGGTCTCCATTGGGTGGGGCGATTCATTGGGATGTCTCCGTGTCAAGTCTGAGCTTTGTTCTGACACGAGTTCCACGTGGAAGCATAAACTTGGCAGGCATAGCGACCAAAAGCTGTAACCTACACGTCATTCTCGCTAGCAAAATGCGTTTGATGACCAGGTCCTATCCACCTAGCCACGTTGTAAGTAGGTGCAGTTGTGCTCCTCAAGCAATTTCGTGGCCGACGTAACGCCGGAAGTAGGTGGAATATGTTCTTGCTGACAGCAGCAGCGGGTCTTTGAGGCGCGCTTCGATCGCGTTCTGCTCGCCGCAGCCGAAACTCCCGCAGTCTTCTCTTTCCAGCAACCCACACCATCCACTCCCTCCAAGCCTCCCTCATCACTCTCACCCCTTTTCTCTCACACGCCTCGCCAAACGTCGCACGCGGTTCGCCGTCAAGATGTGCTCCCTTCGATCTCACCTTTCGATCTCATCCGTTGCATACGACTCTCTGCGATTGTAGCAAATCGTAATTCCTTATCGCATACGTCGTGTAGCACCCAGAACTCTCGCATTGATTCCCTCCGTCAGCACACACACTACCTCCTCTTGAGTGCATGGAGCAGCATTTCTCTCCTTCCTCCCCCCTCGCTCGCAAGTGCCTCCCTGCAGTTGCAGAGCAGACGATCCAGCCACCAGACAGTCATCCTGCCCGCTGCTCTGTATTTTAGCCTTCGCAGACAACGTCGACGCATTCAATTGTTCATGCTACGAACACCATAGCAATAATGATGCTATCGGCTGGGCCATTTTCGAAAGGTCTTACGATCACGGGTCACTGTCCACGACTGCCTCTCAATAATCGCTCACTTCTCGTCCGTGTGTCGAACCGCACACATTGTTTTCCCTAAACAACTAGATTCTATCACTTTCAACTAGAGCTCCTATAGTTAGAAATAGAAGGGCGCCAATTAGTTAAGCTTAAAAGGTAGAATTGGAGCAATCTTCCGACCATCGCCATGAGTTGCAGCACGTGCAACATCGCGCAACACGTGGCGGCCCTCCATTGCGCCGACACGGAGGCCACAGCCGTCTCGTCCGCATCCGCACGGCATAGCGCCGTTGATCCCCACGCCCATCCCTATCCCCACCCCCATGCTCACTCTCATCCCCTCCCGCGCATCTGCTCCGTCGCAAGTTGCCGGAGCGCCAGTAACATAACCATCGCAGACGCATCAGTTATGGCCGACGCCATGTTACCGTCATTCGCGCCGAATTGCGCGCACGTCGCCGGGAAGCTACTGGCTCCGCCGTCCCTATCCACCCCTCGATCCGCGTCTTCCTCCACGCCACTCCCCGTGTCGATCTCTTCGCCTTCCTTCGCTGCTGCTCCCGTCGCCACGCCTTGTCTCTCAATCTCCCCATCCGCGCCGCTTCTCGATCGCGAGCCGACCTTCTCGACCAGGTAACCCCCGGCAATTTCTAAGATTAATTGTTAAAAATTCCAGATATCCTTCCCCTCCGACTTCCTGTTACCCCGTTATGCGGTTTCCGGGATTAAAGAGCACCGAAGTTTCTGTGTGGTTACCGCGTGCTCGTGCTCTTATCTCGTCGACTATCCAGTCGATAGTTCGCAACTTACGTGTCCGCTCTTGAACGTATCTCGTTCCCAACACCCCTCCACTCCCTTCCGGATCTGTCCTTTTACCAGCCTCCCGGAAATTGCGCTTCCATTTGGGGATCCACCGCTGCCGTCATTGCTGCCGCCGCCGCCGCAGTCGCCGCGAACGGCGCCGCCTCAAGCTCCGCAACTGCCGCTGCAATCGCCGGTGAAGCCGAAGCAGCAGACCGGGAAAAGCGGGAAGAATTGGACTGCTGCGGTAACGATCGGCGTGGGTTCGAGCCTTGGAGTGGCAGCCATGGCTGGGGTGCGCTTCGCAGGCTACGGCGCGCAGCCGTCTCTCTTCGACCTCTTTTCGTCGCTCGGCGTTCCGCTCGATATAAGGATGATCGAGGCTTGCGCGCTGTCCCTCTGGCACCTCTCTTCCGCGCTCTCCTTCCCTCTCCCTCTCCCTCTCCCCTTTCCGTCACTCTCCTCCTCTCTCGACCACAATTTCAACCTCCTCCTCCTCCTCCTGCTCACCGCTCTTTGCGCCGCTGGTGCCGCGTTTCTTTTACCGCCCTCGACTTCCGCCGCCGGCGCAGCTTCGCGGGGAGGAGGGCGGAACGGGCGCAGCACCAGAAACGGGATTGGGGCAGAGACGACAGGATTAGCAGAAACGGCAGAACAGTCAGGGTTGTCAGCAGAAACGATGACGTCATCTGTGCCAGCGGGAGCGGCGGGGAGGAGCGAGGGAGGGTGGTGGTGGGGTAGTGGTTGGTGGTGGCGCGTGAGTGTTGACGCCACGGTTAGTGGCGCGGCGGACGGTGCGACGGACGTGTTGCACGAGGGACTAGGCTCCGGAGGAACAACCGCAGCAGCAGCAACAGCAGCAGCAGCCGCAGCCGCCGCCGCCGCCGCCGCCGGGAGGATGACGAGGAAAATCGCCAATCTGAGTGTCGAGTGAGTCAGGATTCCCTGTCACGGTCTTGTCCTGCTTTCCCCTTCTGCTCCTCTCCTCCTTCCCTCACTCCCCCTCTCCTGCTCTCCCACTCTCCTCTTCTCCTCCTCACCGTCCTGTCCCGTTCTACCAAGTTGCTTCATGCTGCTTCCCCAACATCCTCCACCAATTCAGTCGCCCACGGCTATCTAAACCTCCTTCTTCCCCCCCCTTAACTTAACCCCCCGCCCTCCGCCCCTCCTTCTCTGTCCTCCCCCCCCTCTTTCTCCCCCCTTTCAGAGTTCCCGAGGCCTTCTTTCTCTCCGCGCCGCACCAGCCTTCCCCCTCGTCCGCGTCTCCCCGCGTGACGTCGCCCTTCTTCACAGCGTCATCACCTTGCTTCCCCTCGTCGGACCGCATCACCTTGCTCCACCGCGCAGCTGACGCCGCCGCCGCCGCCGCCACCGCCACCGCCACCGCCACCGCCACCAGCGCCGCCCTGCTCTCCCCGCTTGCCGCGTGTCCAGCCACTGATGCCGCCACTGCTGGTGGTACTGCTCTGGCCGACGCTGATGGGGCAGAAGCAGCAGCAACAGCAGCAGCAGCAGCGGCGGCGGAGGCTTTTATGGAGAGTGACAGGGGCGAGGTGAACTCGGGGGACTTGGCTGACCTGATGCTGCACTTGGACTGGTCATATGATGACGGGCTGGGCCGCTGGGACCGGATTATCGACCGGGAGAGTGACGACGTGCAGTATGAGGCGTGGAGGCGAGACCCTAAGGTAAGGGTTTCTGACTTGGTACAGGCGAGAGTTGTTGTTTGTTTGTTTGTTTTTGGATTTTTTGTGTGTGTGTGTGTTTGTGTGCTTTTCTTTTTTTTTTTCGTTTTTACATCTAAAGCAGCACAGTGCAACTCGAGCTGGAGTTGAGCTATAAGGGCGCTGGGGTGTCGTGTCATGTCATGTCATGTCATGTCATGTCATGTCATGTCATGTTATGTCATGTCGCTTCATCTCATGTGATCTCATATCATGTGCTAGGAAATACTCATCTCGCACTTCCTTTCCTCCTCACTCTCCTCTCTCCTTCTCAGAATGGCGGCCCAACAGAATACCACACGCTCACGCGCTTTCCCGGCATGCCAGCGCGGCTGGTAGCAGCATACTACACGGATTGCACATACCACCTGCAGCACCAGTGCGACCCCGTGCTCAAAGCCTTCTCCCCGCTCTCCGCCTGCCCTATCACGGGCGTGCACAAGGGCAGGTTCGAAAGAAAATACCCGCTCTGTGCTGCCCGGGAATATGTCCTGGCTTGGAAGGTGTGGGAGATGTGGGGGGGTTGTGGGGCAGGGAGGGGCGGTGGAGGGGCTGGGATGGAAAGGGAGGAGGAGGAAAAAGGGGAGGAGGGAGGGGTGAGGGGAGTGGAAGGAGGAGAGGTGGTGTTCTGTGTGACGAAGGCGGTGGACGATGAGAGCGTGCCACGGAAGTCGAAGCCGAAGCGGGTGGATATTTACAACTGCGGATGGAGAGTGCAGGATGGTGAGTTCTCTGTGAGAGGAGCGTCGCTTAACCTTGCTCGACTCGACCATACTCCACCGTGCTCAAACTCACTCAGCTTTTGTTTTGCTCATGCCGCACTCTCTCCACTGTCTTGTGCATTTCCTGCTGATTCAAACAGCACAAGCCGCCCTCTCAATCCCCTCCTCAACCTGCCCTTCCCTTCCCTTCCCCGCTCCCTCACTCTCCCCCCCTTCTCTCCTCGCCAGTTGTCCTGCCGGACGGGCGAAAGGCAGCCGAGATAGAGATGGTGGTGCGGGATGACTGTGGCATTCAGAGGGACATGGCAAAGATGGCGTTCAGACGCGGCGCATGGGGCTACGTGTGCAACACACTCGCACACATCCGCGGATATACGCAGCTGCACCCGCACCTGCTGCTTCCTGCGCCTGCTCCGCCCTCGACTGGGTTTGAGGCGCTGCTAGGGGAGAACAGTGTGCAGTCGCAGCAGCAGCAGCAGCAGCAGCAGCAGCAGCAGCAGCAGCAGCAGCAGCAGCAGCAGCAGCAGCAGCAGCAGCAGCAGCAGCAGCAGCAGCAGCAGCAGCAGCAGCAGCAGCAGGAGCAGCAGCAGGAGCAGGAGGAGGAGCGGGCGGAGGAGATGGACAGGGTGCAGCAAACCGTGTTGTTAAGCAAGGATGGCAGCAGCAGCAGCAGAGGTGTTGACCAAGATGGCATGTTCCCTGCAGGAGACGCAGCAGCAGCAGCAGCAGCAGCAGCAGCAGCAGCGGGTGTTGGTGCACAGGCAGAAGTGTCGTCGACACTAGCAGCATTGTCAGCCTCAACATCAGGAGCAGGTGAAGCAGCTGCGGCTCTCAGTCGGTCCCTTGCTGCCCAGGCATCGCTACCACGCCTCCTGCGCTTCACACCCCGCCCTGGCCTCTCCCTCTCGCGTGCATTCAGCTGCATCCGCTCCGCTGCTGCCGCCACTGCTGCCGGAATTGGCAGCAGCAGAAGCTTCTTCGCTGCGGCCCCAGCACCAGGCTCCTCAGCAGCACTCTCTTTGTCGTCAGCATCAGGGCCAGGAGGCTCAGGACCGGGATCAGCAGCAGCAGGGGCTTCAATGGCCCGAACTTCTGATGGCAAACGAGTGCTGCTGCTGAGAGGGGTTGTGCCTGTAGTGGCAGTGGCAGCTATGGGGCTCGGTGTAGGGGGGTTGCTTGTGGTGCATTGCGGTGCGGCAGGGGCAGCATCTAAGGTGCTTCTTGCTTGCACCCTGAGGTCGATGTGGGTGGGGGCGCAGCGGGAGAGTCCCCAGGAAGGCTCCTCCCAGGCTGGCCGCAAGGAAGCAAGGAAATAAGGAATTAAGGAAATAATGCACAAAGGATGAAAAAATAGTGGGGGGGATGGCAAAGCACGACCCATCAGCAGCTGCTTTTTTTGCCCTGCTCTGAAACGGGGACGAGATGGGGCAATGTGAAAGGGATGCTGGCTGGCCAGTGCGGAAATAGATAGTGGCTGTAGATAGAAAGAGGTTTACGTATGTATGCCTGCCAACCAATAAGGTGCTCCTGTGCAGCTGGCGCAAGGTACAGCTCCTCTAGCTGGTGTGCTGGGGTGTATTTTTGAACGCTGTCAGATTGCTGCTGGCTGTGAGCATAAATGTCTGCATTCTTTTGTTCATGTGGTATAAAATCTGTTGTGGGGTACAAAAAGGCTGTTTCTTCTATTTGTTAACAAGCAGAGTGCCTCTAAAACCACACCAGGCATACTCCACTGTGGATGGCCAGGACATAGGCTCCCTAGAGTATAGGCATCCGGTTGTTTCTAGGTGGCCTTTGCTTAGGGCGTGCTGGCGTTTTATTATATAGGAAGGTTTTGATATACATTACCGCATGTTGTGCGCGCCTATATATTCAGGGGCTATGTACTTGTCAATCGATATAACGTGTGTGATATATAAAATAGAAGGTAGCTAGGAAATATGATTACATTGTCCCTCCGATTGCATATCTCTGCCAAATACCTGGGATAACTACTTATAACGAAGACATCTGCGGAGAACTGCACCAATCGTGGCAAAGCAGAATCGCAAAACGGGGAACCTACTACCAGAGCTTAGACCTTCCATCAATTTCCATTTCAGCGTAGACCTCCGCACAACAGTTTTTGTACTGTACACTCCAGTTGGCGCGCAGTGGTTCGATCATAAAATGCGTATTCTGAACTGTACAGTACATGTACGACCACACAGCTGTTGTGCGGGAGGGAAATGCGACGTGACAGACAAGACACTTCGACCGACCGAACCGCTGAGCACAGCGATGACGTGTATGAGCTCGTTCGCCAGCGCATGCGTGTCAGGTGGCGATGAAGCATCACCCGTCGTCACCTCACCAGACCAGGGCCCTGTTTGGCAGGCATCATGGCCATTATGGCCACAATGGGCATTTCTAACGGGCCCCCAAAAAATGCTCCTGGGCATTTCGAGAAACAGCATCGAAATCGGATAGTAGCTGCAGTGCACATTCGGAAAAACGGGGTGGAGTGTTTGGTTGGCATTATTCTGGTGTAGATTGATGGCATCTATCGGGTTTTGTGGCAGATGGTAAGCAGTTGCCATGATGGTTCGCGTGATCATGTGATCGGCTGGCATATTTGACCAGTCACTTTTGATTGCCCCGAATCACTGATACCCCGTATAGTGCGTGGCCTCGAGGCCGCATGGTGCGGGGGATCAGAAAATGGGCACTTTGCCAGAGAAACTCGTTTGGGTGTAGATTCCGGCGGTTGAAAACGCCTGCAAAAAAAGGGGTGTTTGGTTGGCATTCTGGTCGGTTCACTGTAGCCCATCCCCCTCGCCCGTTTTTTTTATGCCTGCCAAACTGGGCCCAGAACTCAAGGCGACTGTACGCTGATGGCGAAACGCGTGGACCTCAACTCCATCCACACACATCCCATCAACGGTGTCAGCACCACGTGAGGAAGATCCCACGACTGAAAGTAGTACACCCTCTTTCTCGCCATTGTGAAATCGGTTATAGTGAAGTCAAGATGGGAAAATCACGGTTAACGGTGGTTAGATTAAGTCTAGGTATGGTTCAATCAGACAAATCGAAGGTAACTAGGTTTTCCATCAGTTCAGCACAGTTCAGTGTAGTGAGAAACAGGGTGTAGTCAACAGCTGACGGTTGTGTGAAACAAGCAAGCAAGATGAGCGTTGTCGTCGACAACGCCGCAGAAAACGAGTGGTTGCGTCCCACTGGTTGGCTGTCTGTCTAGGTTGCAACCAAAATCTCCTCGAACAAAACGTAAAAATTGCAGTAGGTCGTGTCTTCTGTACTCGCAGACTTGTTCGGTGTAGTCCAAAACCTTGAGAAGATGATAAACGCTGCAGGGTTTCTAGCGTTCTTAGACGCTTAGCATAGTCTTAGAGAGACCCAGCGTAGTATCATGTCTGAAGATCACGCCTTTTCCCACATTGTACAAGATTGGGAGTCGTAGCTCCTGGTTTTGTTTTCAGAACTGTTAGCTAAAACCGGTTCGGGGGGCACCTCCCCCCCCCCCCCAACCTACCTTGGCCCCCTACCACTACCCCGCCAGCTCCCACATGCGCAGCGATAATGGTGGCTGTGGCGGAATGTGGGGGGGGAAGGGTGTGAGTAGGGAGGACGCAATTGCCATTGAAAGAGGTTAGTGCGACAACGTAACGAAACGCACCAGTCGCAGACGCGAAGATGAAGGAAGATCCACGTCGTCGTGCGACAGGTCAGCGCAGATCAACACATAATCCAGGGAGGGTTTGAGCGGCGCGCAATGTGAGTAAAATGTGGTCAAGGTGGGTCGGGAAAATGTGCGCTTGGAGGGGAGGAGCGGAGGGGCGGTTTGGGGGATGGGGGTGATGGCCAGAAGGGAGAAGGGGCACAAGAGAGTGAGCGAGTCAAACCGAAACGACAGCAAGTGAGTGAAGAAAAGGATTTGTGGGTGGGCGCATTGGCCTGGTTCGGCGGCGGTGAGATCAGCACAAGAGTCGATCGAGACCACCATCACGAGGTTGGATGAGATGCGAGGGACGGAAATAGATGGCGGTGGTAGGAACGCCAACGAGACGCATTTTCACCCGTTCTTCCTCCTCGTCACCTCCTCGTCAGCGTTGCTTCTTCTGTCCCCCAGCCCCGTTTCCTCCGACATCCTCATTCCCATGAGTATATTCCCTCACTGTAGCTGCTCGCTGGTTCTGAACTTCTGATGCGCGCGTGCTTCGTCACCTGTAATTGCGTGGGGTCGTTCAAATCCCCGCCTCGCCTCCTCGCCCCGCCACGCCTCGCCTACTGCTGCCGCTCGAATGGGATTGCAGAGGGACTCAATTTTTGGTTCAAGCCTCCCAGGGGATGTCGTTCTGTTCTTGAACTTTCTGCTCCTTCCTCGCTATCCTCTACCTGTCCCTCATTCCTGGTATCATGTTCGAAAGCTCCTCAGGTTCCCGTCCCATCCCATTCGTTTCTCTAATCCCCAAGCGAGAACTGCATTCATCCTAATCTCCGCGCGGTTGTTGTTGGACTATAATTTTCTCTAAATCTTCCTTTCCAAGCCGCCTTTGGTTATGCCATGGGAAACGCCTGTTCGTCAGTCTTTCCGCGCGACCATGAGGACGATCTCTGCGACGTCGCACAACAGCGTCGCTATAACTCACACACAGAAACGGAGCAGCCTCGCCCGCCTGCTGCCTCAGCGAAGCCCAGGTGCCCCTCAGCTGTGTACGCGGCTGACGTGGCAAGGGGATCCGCAGCCGGCAAAATCTCCCTCCGCCGCCGTTGGCTGGGCAGCAGCCGTCAAATTTGCGACCCCAAATCGCGATTAAAATCCCAGCCATCCAAATTCCACACCAGATCCAAATTGACGGCACGTGGTGCTCAAGAAGCGCCTCTCGCGGCGGCAGTTGCTTGCAGGAGTCTGCTAGAACGGTACGACTTAGACCGAGCTCTTGGTGAAGGCAAATTCGGTTCTGTGCGCGTTTGCCGGGCGAAAATTGGTCCGAATGCGGGAGTGGAATACGCGTGCAAATCGATTGCGAGAAGCAGCGCGCCGAGTATGGTCGTGGCACGCAGCGGTTCCAAAGGAACGGGAAACGCTGGTTCCCCGTTCACAGGCCCGTATTCGTGTTCTCCCTCTGCTACCCGCAACAGCGGCGGTAGCAGCAACAGCAACGGCACTAGCAATAGCAGTAGCAGTAGTAGCATCAGTAGCGGTAGCGCGGGTGGTTCGACATGTGGCAGCAGCTGCTACGGCAGCGACAGCGACAGCGGCAGCAGCAGCAACAGCGGCGCGATGAGCGACTTGATGTGTGATTGCCACGGGTGCTCGTCCGGACCGCTCCACCTCATGACGCCCGGCTCGCCCGTGTCGCGAGCGACTTCCGCGTCTTGCGGATCCACGCCCTGTAGCACTCTCACCTCTCCCGCTCGCGCAGGCGCAGGCGCCGCCGCCTCAGCGACAGCACCGCCACCGGCAGCGGCGGCAGCGGCGGCGGCGGGTGCTGCGGGATTGCAAACGGCGCTGACGGAGGTGGTGGTGCTGCGACTATTGCAAGGTGTCGAAGGTGTCGTGCGACTGCAGGGCGTCGTGGACGACGGCCCTGCGACGTCGCACTGTCACATCGTCATGCAGCTCTGTCGGGGCCCCAGCCTCCACGACTACATCGCCTCCAAGGTACGTCCCTCCGCACGTACGCACGCTCGTACGTACGTTCAGATCTCAGTAATTTTAAGGCATTTTCGAAATGAGTGTACACTTATTGAACTTTTCCGATCATCAAGAGTCTCAATCCGCCAATTTCCCTCGCTTCCCCTGTTCCCCATCTCCCCCATCTGTATCTCTCCCTCTCTCCCTTCTCCGCCCCTTTGTCTCCCTCCGCACGTCCGTCTGCGCGCAGGGGGCGGTGAGCGAGGCGGAGGCGGCGCGGCTGATGCGCGCAGTGATGCGCGTGGTGGCGGAGTGCCACGCGCGCGGCGTGGTGCATCGGGACGTGAAGGCCAGCAACTTCCTCTTCCTCTCCGCATCCCCCGCCGACTCTCCCCTTGTCGCGATCGACTTCGGCCTTGCCGCCTTCTGCCGCCCAGGCGAGCGCCTGCGTGACGTGGCTGGCAGCCCGTGCTACGTGGCGCCGGAGGTGCTGAAGCGGCAGTCGGGGCGCGGGTACGCGCACTCCGCGGACGTGTGGAGCGCGGGCGTGCTCTTCCACCTGCTCCTCTCCGCACGCCCGCCCTTCGACGGCCGTGAGTGCTCGCAGCGCCCCGCTCCCGTCATGTCAACCCCGCTTCCCATTCCCCCTCCCCATATCACACCCCCACCCACTCCCGCTCCGGCATGCTAGCAACTCCATGCTCGTGCTCGTGCTCAATCGGTGTGACTTTTGAGAATTCAGAAAAGTCTCCCTCGCCTCCATCCCGGCATCTCCTTCACTCCCTCATCCTTCGTTTCGCGTCCCTCCCTCCTCCCTCCTTCCCCCCTTCTCTCCCCCACGCCAGCCAGCATAGTGGACGTGTTCAGAGCCGTGGCGAGCGCGCCGTTGGACCTGGAATCGCGGGCGCCATGGGCGGGCGTGTCCGCGGAGGCCAAGCACCTGCTCGCCGCCATGCTCTCCCGCGACCCTGACGCGCGCCCCACAGCGCAGCAAGTGCTCGGTAAGTTGAGATCCCTGCGCGGTGCGGTGGAGTGCGGTGCAGCAAGTCCTCCTCTGTTACTCCCCCACTCCACTCCTCCTCCCAGTGCCACTCGCCCGTTTCTAACCTTTCCAACCATGCCCGTCTCCTGTCTCCCTGGATCCTTGCCACATCCCCTTGCCCTTGCCCTCTGCGTTTCAGAGCACAAGTGGTTTCAGATGCACTCGTCTGCAGAATGCTGACCGTCACCGTCACCGTCACCGTCATCATCGTCTTGTCTTCACCGGCCCAATAACCCAATGAACGCCAGCTGCTGCTGCTGCTGCTGCTGCTGCTGCCACGGGTGAAGCTCCCACACAGGCACGCCGTCAGGCCGGCCCTTCACCCAGCAGGCAGCTTCCACGTGTATTTTGAGTCGAATAAAAACAGCTCCCGCACTGGCATGCCTTAGTGCCGGACCTTTGCACAGCTGAACATCGACCAGGCAGCAGCCAAGCCATGTTAGGGCCATGGTAGGGCCATGGTATGGTAGGGCCATGGTAGGGCCATGGTAAGCACATGGCTAACCCATGGCCAATCCATGGCAAACCCACTCACCCACCTCACCAACCCCACCAAACCCCTCCAGCCATCCAGCCCGCCTCTTTCAATCGCTGCCTGTCTCTCTGCCCTGCTCCTCGTCCTGACTGGAGGCTGAAGGGGTACAGTCACCAGCAACAAGATACCAAGTGTGTGACCCTTGGGTTCTAGCGCCTCCCAGTGGCCCAGGTCTAACCTCTTTTCAGTGGCCCAAGGCCCATGGTCCAAGTCTCATGCCCCATGGCCCATTGCAAGTGGATATGGCTGTTCTGTGTGTGTGTACATAGAGCCACCTGGAATGTGGCACTGAAATGTGTGTCACCATTGCGGCACTCAAAAAGGGTATGGTGGGGGGCAGCTAAGGTGGCACCGCCATTGGCTGTTGGAAAGCGCCACAGAGGGAGCTCGGAGTATCATATCATGGTGGCAGTTGGAGAGTGTCATTCAGATACAGGGGTACTACCGTACACAGCAGTTCTCATGTAGTACCAAGGGGCCTCTGGTGTACTTCCGTACCAGTTGTGTTGACACAGAGAGGAGGCTTCTGCTTGGGGTGCTCCCAGGCTTGGAAGAGTACGGGTCGCTGGGGCGAGTGTTAGTGAGTGGTGGGGTTGGCAGATTAATTACGGTAGTGTGTAAAGAGCTGATAGAGCAGTGTGGTGGGGTGGTGGTGGAGGATGGAAGGTAGAGAGGCCAAAGCAGCAGCAGCAGCAGCAGGGCAGCATGGTCTCATCCACGGTTCTGTAATTCAATCAACCCCACTGAACCCAACCCCGTGTCGCACATTGCCTCTGCATGGGCTTATGCCATACACGCCCACATTCCCCTCGCTTTCACATGTGCGGCATGCATGCCTGATAAGTGCCTTGTCGCAAGTGCCTTGTCGCATGTGGCTTGTCGTATGTGGCTTGAATCTTCAATCCATGGCATGGTTATGTGCCATGCGGGTGGATGCCATCTCACATGCCATGGTACATCCTTTCTGCATACTTGTACATAGCTGGTACTACTGGGTTATGTTTTGTTTGGGTGGGCTGGGCTGTCCCTTTGCCTCCATTTCCGCAGCCCTTGTAAAGTACCTTATCCCCGAAAATAAACCGAGATTGCTTTGTGCTTTATACCGGTATATTCAAGATAGCACGCGAGTTGCTTTACTTCCTTTCTTGTATATACTGGATACATTTGCAGCATGCACCGACGATGCCCTTCCGCAGTCAGTACCCATTTGCTCGGCCAGGGTCAAGGCAGAAACTACGGTATGGTACTTAATTACAAAACCGACAAGAAACAACACCTACAATGTTGCAGCGATGATGATCAAAACCACCTCTCATCTTGCTTGTACTGTATGATGGAAGGTGCTTCTGAAAAAAGCCTGAAGCAACTCATCTCCGCTCAGCCCTCCTCATGTATGGTACTTGCCTCGCCCTGTTTCCAGCTAAGCCTCTACGATGTCTCTGTATGGACGGTAGTACCTGCACAAGGTGTGGGGGGCGGGCAGGAACAGATACGGTACGGTAAAAGGATTGCTGTGAGGTGAGGCGGTAAGGTGTGCCGCAATTTGATAATGATCCTATAATTACCGTATGAAAACAATCACCGGTACAGGTTCTGGCCAAGGAGATCCAAATCAAAGGGCATGCGCATACACGTGGCTTATGATTGTGTGCGTGTGTGTGTGCATGCAGCATGGGCACATGCGTGAACATACACATGCAAACATGGCGAACGTACGGTTGAGTCCTGTGCATGTGAGTGTAGTGTTGTGAGAGTGAGGGAGTGGGGAAGGGAAGGATGGGCAAGTGTGAATATCAATAAAGGAGGTGAGCTGTAGGGAAGAGCAGGAGAGAGAGAAAGCAGGTGCGAGAGTAGAGAGGGGGGTGAGGAGGATAGAGAAAGGGAGAGAGAGTTGGAGGGAGAGGGAAGGGAAGGTACCATGCTTGGAAGTCACAGTCCCACCACTCGATCATGAGATTATCCTCCAAGAAGTGGAACATGTGTGGCACCCTGTGTGGAGGCATGCACATGGAGAGTTGAGTTTTGAGGCGCCTAAAAACACCCGACTCAATACGTGCGGATCACATATGGGAAGTTGCAGTCCCCCCACTCGATCATGAGATTGTCCTCCAAGAAGTGGAACATGTGCGGTACCCTGTGTGGGTGTGAGTACCATGGACGCATGCACATGGGGAGTTGTATTTGGACTTTTGAGGCGCCTCAAATGTGTATTTGGAGGTGCCTAAAAGCTCGACTCAATACACACGGATCTCTTTTGAAGTTCATTATTCAGGGTGCTTCCGACCCCGACATCTGAGATTGTCCTCCACGAAGTGAAACATGTGCTTCACCCGCAAGGGCTTCACCCGCAAGGGCTTCACCCGCAAGGCCTTCACCCGCAAGGGCTTCACCCGCAAGGGCTTCACACGCAAGGGCTTCACACGCAAGGGCTTCACCCGCAAGGGCTTCACACGCAAGGGCTTCACCCGCAAGGGCTTCACACGCAAGGGCTTCACACGCAAGGGCTTCACCCGCAAGGGCTTCACACGCAAGGGCTTCACCCGCAAGGGCTTCACACGCAAGGGCTTCACACGCAAGGGCTTCACACGCAAGGGCTTCACACGCAAGGGCTTCACACGCAAGGGCTTCACCCGCAAGAGCTTCACCTGCAAGAGCTTCACCCGTAAGGGCTTCACACGCAAGGGCTTCACACGCAAGGGCTTCACACGCAAGGGCTTCACCCGCAAGAGCTTCACCTGCAAGAGCTTCACCCGTAAGGGCTTCACACGCAAGGGCTTCACAAGCAAGGGCTTCACACGCAAGGGCTTCACCCGCAAGAGCTTCACCTGCAAGAGCTTCACCCGTAAGGGCTTCACACGCAAGGGCTTCACCCGTAAGGGCTTCACCCACAAGAGCTTCACCTGCAAGAGCTTCACCCGTAAGGGCTTCACACGCAAGGGCTTCACCCGTAAGGGCTTCACACGCAAGGGCTTCACACGCAAGGGCTTCACACGCAAGGGCTTCACACGCAAGGGCTTCACACGCAAGGGCTTCACCCGCAAGGGCTTCACCCGCAAGGGCTTCACACGCAAGGGCTTCACACGCAAGGGCATCACCCGCAAGAGCTTCACCTGCAAGAGCTTCACCCGTAAGGGCTTCACACGCAAGGGCTTCACACGCAAGGGCTTCACCCGCAAGGGCTTCACACGCAAGGGCTTCACACGCAAGGGCTTCACACGCAAGGCCTTCACCCGCAAGGGCTTCACCCGCAAGGGCTTCACCCGCAAGGGCTTCACCCGCAAGGGCTTCACCCGCAAGGGCTTCACCCGCAAGGGCTTCACCCGCAAGGGCTTCACCCGCAAGGGCTTCACCCGCAAGGGCTTCACCCGCAAGGGCTTCACCCGCAAGGGCTTCACCCGCAAGGGCTTCACCCGCAAGGGCTTCACCCGCAAGGGCTTCACACGCAAGGGCTTCACACGCAAGGGCTTCACCCGCAAGAGCTTCACCTGCAAGAGCTTCACCCGTAAGGGCTTCACACGCAAGGGCTTCACCCGTAAGGGCTTCACCCGCAAGAGCTTCACCTGCAAGAGCTTCACCCGTAAGGGCTTCACACGCAAGGGCTTCACACGCAAGGGCTTCACACGCAAGGGCTTCACACGCAAGGGCTTCACACGCAAGGGCTTCACACGCAAGGGCTTCACCCGCAAGGGCTTCACCCGCAAGAGCTTCACCCGCAAGAGCTTCACACGCAAGGGCTTCACCCGCAAGGGCTTCACCCGCAAGAGCTTCACCCGCAAGAGCTTCACACGCAAGAGCTTCACCGTGGGGGTATGGTGATGACGTTGAGGATCCCATCGTACTCCCTCACCTCCTCCCCTCCACTCACTAGGTCCTGCACTCCCCACCCCCACACATCAACATGCACACACGCACACACTCATCAAGAACAGACACAACGTGAATGTGAACAAACATGATGCATACGTAGAGGAACAAAAGAAACATAAGTCCCGTGTGTAGGGTGACATGCGGGGGGACTGTGCAGCTGTGCCACGAAAGAGGAAACACTCAAGAGTGCACCAGGAAGCACAGAAGGGCGTGGGTGTTGTGGAGGGAGAGACCAGGGGCTGTGTGCTGGAGGGGCAATGTGGGACTTGCATGCGTGTATGTATGCAGTGAGGGTTTTTGATACGCCATGCATGCAGGCAGAGGGGAGACCGTGAGGTGGAGGTTGGTGCGACCGGAGAGAATGACGCCGTGCTGGGAGCAGTCGTGCATGTCGAGAGGAGCAGTTGTGCTACTAGTGCGTGCAGTGTGTGGCAGGGGCTGTGTGGCAGGGGCTGTGTGGGAGAGGCTGCGTGGCAGGGGGCGTGTGTGAGATGCAGACCGTGAGGTGGAGGTTGGTGCGGCCGGAGAGGATAATGTCGTGCTGGGAGCAGTTGTGCATGTCGCCACTGCGCCGCGACCCCGCCTTGGTTGCCATGAGATTCACCACCACGCCTTGCCCCATCTGCATGTGCGCACATGCATGCACATGCACATGCACATGCACATGCACATGCACATGGGTGCGCACAGGCAGAGAGGGACAAATACACAGGCAAACGAACACACTCATATGCATGCACGGAAACTCTTCCCGCAGCCCCTACTCACACACAGACCACACATGCACACACATGAGCGTGCGGTGGCCATGGAAACATGCAGAAGAGAAAAACAAGACGGCAGGCAGTACAGCAGCTTACACTGACGCGGAGAATCTTGCCTCTTGTGTCCTCAAACGAGGCAGTCTGTGGCGGAGCAGCAGGCACAAGAGGGGATAGAGGGTGAGGCAAAAAAGAGAAGAAGAAACAAACTCAAGACTTGGCATGATACAATTGGCACGATATAATTGGCTCGGTATAAGCATCTAACTTCCCCCGACTCATACCGATCCAACCGAAACAAAACTTTCTCCATCTCCATTATTTTCTTGGTTTCCATCCCCCCACCACCCCAGTTCTCCATTTCCCCCATTCCCCATTCCCCATTCCCCATTCCCCATTCCCCATTCCCCATTCCCCTGTCCCCCATTCCCCCATTCCCCCAGACGAGCACCTGTCCGAAGAGAGTGAGCGCTCGCGAGGCCATGGAGGGCGGGGGCGCGTCCTGCACGCCCTTGCTGCGCCACGTCAGCGCGTCCAGCGGGCCCTGCGGCGTGCGCATCAGCTCCGCCAGCAACGCGGGGATGGCTGCGGAAGGGAGTTGGGGAGGGTGAGGTTGAGGGTGTGGGTGCGGGTAAGTGGGGGTGAGTGTGTCTTCGGGAGTGAGGGTGTGAGTGAGAGTGTGTGTTGCTGAGTGTGAGGTATGAGCGAAGAGCGACAAGGGCCGGGAGCTTAAGGGACACCTGGCCACCAAGGGAGGAACCCACGACTCACATTTACTGCCGCTGACGGCGCTACTGCTGCTGCTGCTGCTGCTACTGGGACTCGCCTCACCACTATCCGCGCAGCACCAGCAGCACCCGTGAGTCGCACTACAGCTACAGTTACTGCTGCTGTTGCTGCCGCTATTATCGCTAATACCGAAACTGTCTCCCTTCCCTCCCTCGGCTGTCTCTCGCCTCATCATCTCTCCCACCGTCGCTTGTACAGCCAGTAACCGTTGCTCAACCTGCGCTGCCGTTGCGTCTGTCACCTCCCCCGCTGCTTTCAAAGCGCCGCGGTCGGCTGAGGATGGTTCCTGCGGACGATGCAATAGCGAGTACGCGGTGTATGTCGCGAAACAGACGAGCGCTATTCGCTCCAGCGTTCGGCTAGCCATGGCGGGAGGAGGAGGAGTGAGTGGCGAGGGGGGAAGGAGAGCGGCGGTTGCGCGCGGGTGACGGCGAGAATGGGCAGAGTTGGAGTGCATGGGCTCGCTGTGACGATTGTAATCGCTAGTATCGATAGTCGAAGTAAGAGGAGTAAGTGAAGTCGAATCCTGGCTCACGGCAATATGAAAGGCTTTGCGACGCGTGAGATGGAACTAGGACACATGCATACTCAATAGGAGGTCAACGCGCGGAGAATCCTCGAAGATACTACACAGAATTGCTACTTTGCAAGAGATGTACACGAATTAATACATCTTAAAACCGGAACTTGGTGTTCCTCCTAACAAATTATGCGATTCATTTAAGCATTTGAAGTACCAGACACTCCTAATCTCTTTTCCAGATCTCCCCTCCCATCAATATACATCCATCCATGCCCGTCCTTTCTGTTTCGCCATCATACCCACCTTTCTTGATTCTCCTTGGCAAACTCACTCTCTCTTCCCTCCCTCTTCAAATCTACAGCCCCAGAGCGGCACTGAGAGCACTGTGAACATCCACGCTAATCTGAGCCTCTGCCTTCTCCAAATCAGTGCTCGCACTCGCCACCTTGGCGTGTGCCGCAGCCAGGCCCTTCTTCACCTCCTCGCCGTCGATCTGGTCCAGCGGCACCGCATCAACGGCTGCCACGTCGAGCACGCTGTTGGGGTGCACGAACGCGAAACCGCTGCTGACAAAGAGCTTTGTCTCGGTTGTTCCTTCGATGACTGTCAGCAGGCCTGGCTTGAGCTCCGCAATGGACGCCACGTGGCCTGGAAGGACGCCCATCTGGCCTGACGTGGCAGGGATGATCACGCTGTCCACCTGGGCGTGGAACGGGGTGAGGGGAAGCGTGAGCGGGAGGGGTCAGGGGGGGAGGGAAGGGGGAAAAAGGGGAAGGAAAAGGACGGAAGGGGAAGGGGAAGGAGGGGAGATGGGAAAGCGAGGGAGGTGGAACGAGGAACAGGGAAGGAAAAAGGGGAAGTGGGAACGGAATGAGGGAAGGCGGGGGAAGTGGAAACGGGGAAAGGAAACGAGGAAGGGGGAAGGAAAAAGGGGAAGAGGAAAAGGGAAATGAAGAGGAAAGCATACGGGATCAGGGGGACGGGTAATGAGTGTGTTGGGAGGAATGACAAGGAGGAGGAAGGAGAACGAGGTTTGCGCTAGGAAAAAACCAGAGACATGTGCGAACACTCTGCGAATCCTACACGTAGTCCTGGTCTGACGAAGCATGACGTTGACTGACGTGGTCTCGATCACCCCGTACATTACCACTCATGTAAGCTCTTTAACGAGGGCTCACTACCCACCCTTCGAAGTAACGGATCGCCATATATGAGAGACTGTAGATCCCGAAAATAACTAATGCGGCCTACAGCCTAGAGCTCTCGAGACAGAACTGGTTCCAGCCACGCCAGACGTCGTAGAAGGGATATCGGAACTGCGATCCCGTTTCAGAACCAGGCGTAAAGCATCTGGCGAAACCCTAAACGGGTTACGGTACACTTCGTCAGCGTAGCCTAGTGTAGTCGCTTCCGATCATCAGCGCGTTCACCGCTCGCAACTTACCTCTTTCGCGCTGTACGGCATAGCGTGAGGTAGCGAGAGGTTAAGCGTGAGCTTTTCCGGGATCGCGGCCGACACGGCGGGACGCTCCTTGAGGTAAGTAAGCGGCGTGGACGGCACGTCCAGCTGCGGCGCTACGCGCTTGTAAGCCTCCGCTAGGCTCGCGGACTCGGCGGACGCAGCGGCGGATCCGTGGATCCGCGCAACGCCGGCGGCCGCGCGCGCGGCGGGGAGGAGAACGCGCTTGGCGGATCGGAACATGGTGACAGTGCGGAAGGACGAAAGATTGTGGACCGGTGAGAATGAACGGTGCGCGCCGCAAAATCTATGGAACGCCCTGGCCTGGGAACGACAGGAGGAGGCGAGATCGTGGTGGGAGTGCGAAGCGGCGAGCGGAAGAGGCGGTGGTGGAAGGTGGAAGTATGGCAGAAGGCCCAGAAGCGGAAGCGAGCGGAGCAGCTGAGGATGATTAGTGGTGGTAGTGGGACGGTGGCTGCAGGGGTTGGCGGAGCAGTGGCGGAAGCAGATGCGGACAGGGTAGTCTAGCGGAAGCGGGAGTGAAAAAAGTGGTGGCGGAAGGGGGTCGGAGGGAGTGAGGGGGAATGGGAGGGCGTACGGGGCGGAGTCTCAGGAAGCACGTGTTCGGCTTGCGGTGTTTGGAGCTACTGTGCATAGATTGTAAACATAAAAGGTTAAATGGTTACATCGAGTTCAGTCATCATCCAGATTACATGGTAAGTCTGCATCAACGATATGCATCACCTCAGGAGATTGTCTACCTGGAACTAATCCAACCTAGAGTTATCGTTAGCCACACTTATGGCAGGAGATTACCAGGCAGGTAAGCCCAGGCAGCTCGACAAAAAAGAACTGCCAATCCGACTAGCAGCACTAGTACATTTCAAGGAGGCGGGCAGAAGGGAGGATGAGGAACTTAGGGGAAAAGAAGGGTGTGGATAAGAAAGAAACGGAGGGGCCCAGGAATGTGGAACAGCAGAAAGGTACGGTAGATGGTGTCTGTTGGAGGTCACAAGGAGTCGAGGAAGGAAAAAGACAAAAGGGAATCAATCAAGTAGAGGAAACAATCCCATCTACAATAGAGAACCGTGAGAACTAAGTAGAGACCCAGGAATCCACGCAGGCCCAGACACTGCCGGACCAGAAGTTAGCAACCGTGAATGCAAGGCTGAGGAGGGTGGTGAGGTGGTGAGGAGGTGGTGAGGAGGTGGTGAGGTGGTGGTGAGCTGGTGCTGCTATGCAGCTTCTTTTGCTGATGCCTGACATGACATCAGGCACAGGCCAAGGGTAAAGGATGGGATTGCGGGAGGTAAAGGGGGGAGGTTCAAAGAAAAAGAGAGGCAGGTAAGGGATGTGATGTGACCGGTAAGATCCAGGAGATATCCAGTGTCAGATGCAGAGGAGTCGACACATGCCGGCCAGTCCAGTCACAGGTGCCCATCTTTTTCCAGTCGCCGATCCATCCATCCATCCACAGTGCAGTTGCTCGTCCAGTCGTCGTAGCAGCAGCGGGCCATGGAGGCCCAGGGGCACGCCAAGCAGTGCAACGACAGACGGCACATAACTCAGTCCGTGCAATGTACACACCACATGCAGAGAGAGTCAGTCAAGTAACCCCGCCCCGTCGCCACCCCTCCACGGATGGCGGCACTGCTACGGCACGAGTGCAGACACATCGGAGGAGTTATGCCTAGACAGCCCACTGCCCTTGCCGCCCCCATGCCCTGACCGCCTCCTCTCCCCGTCCCCATCCCCGTCCCGCTCCCTCCCACCCCTCTCACGGTGCCTGTCTCTCTCCTTGTGCCTACTGCCCCCCCTCTCCCCATCCCTCTCCCGCTCCCACTCACTCTCCCGCTCCGACTCCTCCCCACCACCTCCCCTGCTCCGCGCGTCTCTCCTCCCTGACCCTGCACCGCCCTCTCCCTCCCTCGCCTGCGGCACCAGCAGCGACAGGTCTTGGGACTTCTGCCTACGGCCCCGCAGGGCTGAACTGCCCCCAGCCTCTGACCCACGCCGGCTGCTGCTGCTGCTCACACCACTGCCACCACCGCTCTCCCTCCTCCCGTCCTTCTCCCGCAACCAGTCCTTGTCACGGTCGCGCTCCCTGTACCGATCCCGGTCCCGGTCCCTGTTCCTCTCCCTGCTTCTGTCGCTCCGATCGTCATCATCCCATCCACCGCCCCTCTCCCTCCCCCCTCCACCAAACCCTCCAAACTCCCCGCCGTCCTCTCCCCCCCGCCTCCCGCCTCGCTCCCTCCGGCCGTCCCTCTCGCCCCGCTCATGCCCGCCACCCTCTCCCCGCTTCACCTCTTCTGCTTCAAGCCACGAGGCACTCACCGACTTGTTCCTAGACAACGCACTGTCATCCGCGTCCTCCCCATCTCGCCCGCCGCGCTTGGGGGAGCGCAGCGGAACACCGGCACCACCCCCCTGCCTTGGAGACTTGGGAATACCCCCCCTACCACTGGCTGTGTGCCCGTACCCTGATGACCTATCCCTGTCCCTGTCTCTGTCCCGGTCTCGACTGTACGATCCAGTTCTTGAGCTTCTGCTGTCTGTCCGTTGGTAGTCCCCTTCTCCCCCTCTCTCCCTCTCTCTCTCCTTCTCTTTGCCATGTGTGCCGTTCACCCCTTCTGCCACTGCATCCCCTGTCTTGCCCTCCTCCCCACCTGCCCCTTCCGCATCCCCCCCTCCTTCCTCTGCCTCCCCCTCCTCCGCCACACCATTCGCTGTCACTTTCCCCCCACCACCCTCCTCATCCCCTGCCTCTTTCCCTCCTCCACCCTCACCCTTCGCCTCGTCCCCTCCGCCCTTCTTCTCCTTTCCCGATCCCGGTGACTCCCCCGCGTTCTTCCCAGTAGTCCACCCCCCTCCCTCCGCATCTGACTCCTCCAGCACCTGCAACGACCGTCCCGAGCCTGCGCCGCCGCTTCGTTCCCGGCCAGACCCACCCGAGCCTGACGGGCTCTCCATGTGCCTCCTACTGCTGCTGCCGGTTCCCCGAAGGCGAGACCCCGTGGGGGGACGCGAGGGGGAGGAAACTGAGTCTTCATCTGACCGCCAGGAAGGAGACATACGGCGCACTAGATCCCGGTTCGATGCCCTCCTGCCGCTGCTACTGCTGCCTCTCCCTCCCACCCCCTCCTCCTTGTCATCCTTGCCTTTCACACTCGGTGACCTCTTCCCCTCCTCCCTCTCCCTCTCCTCCAAGTCAATAGACGATTTCCGCCCGTGCCCATCCTTACCGGACCTCCCCTTCCCGTCCGGGGATCTGGATCGGTCCAAGCCTCGTCGAGCAGCGCCGCCGGACCTGCCGCCGTCCGAGCCTCTTCCTTCTGCCGACTGCTGGCCTAGCAGCAGCTGGGACTGATTGCTTGCAGATCTCTCCATCTTACGTCCACTGCTTCTCCCCCCTCCTCCTCCCGACTTCCCAATCCCCCCCGCAAGGCTGTCCGTATCCCTCCCGCCCCTGCTCTTCCGCCCACCCCCATCACCATCATCCCCCCCTACATTCAGCATTTTAGAAATATCCGCCGACTTGTGCCGTATAATCCCCCCGCCGCCGCTGCTCTTCTTGCTCTTACTGCTACTGTCCGCCTTGTCTCTTCGTAAAGACCCTGGCGTTGTCGGCACCTTGTCCTTCCCCCGATCCCTGTCTCGATCCCTCGACCTGTCACCATCTCTCCGGTCTCGCTCTTTCTCATCGGAATCATACCCCCCTCTCTCCCGCTCCCTGTCCCAATCATCCCTATCTCGATACCTCGGCCTGTCGCGGTCCCTGTCCCAATCCCTGTCTCCCCGATCCCTATCCCGATACCTCTCCCTGTCCCTATCCCAGTCCCGATCCCGATCCCTATAACGATCCCTGTCCCTTGAATCCCAATCACGATCCCTGTCCCTCCTGTCCCAATCCCTGTCCCGGTCCCTATCCCAGTCCCGATCCCTGTACCTGTCCCTATCCCTATCCCTATACCTGTCTCGGTCTCTATACCTGTCCCTATCACGCCCATACTCCCGGTCACTGTCACTATCCCTGTCTTTATCACTCTCATAATCATCCTTATACCCATACCTGCCGTCTCTATCCCGGTACCGGTCCCGATCCCGGTCCCTAAAACCATCCCTGTCCCTGTCCCAGTCCCTGTCCCTATCCCTGTACCGCTCCCTGTCCCTCTCCCTACTGCCCCGCTCCCTCGATCCATCCAAATCCTTCCCCTTCAATCCATCCACGCCCTTATCCAAATCATCGTCCCTGTCCCTATCCCGCCTGTACCTGTCCCTATCCCTGTCCCGATCCCCGTCCCTGTCCCAGCTCCTGTCCCGGTCCCAATCCCGGTCCCCCCTACCCCTATCCCTATCCCTATCCCTATCCCTATCCCTATCCCTGTCCCAATCCCTCCCCCTGTCCCGGTCCCTATCCCTATACCGGTCCCTCTCCCTGCTCCTGTCCCAGTCCCTATCCTTATCCCGGTCTCGATCCCTATCCCTGTACCTGTCTCGGTCTCTCCCCCTGCCACTCTGACTCGAAGCGTCATCCTTGCCCGTCTCCTCCTCTAGAGCACCCAGCATACTCGCCGCATCCGACCTATACCGCGACAGCCTATCAGCGTTGCTGCTCCTACTAGACGTGCTCGAATCCCTCGGGAACCGGCTCGACGCAGCCCCATCTCTGTCTCTCCCGCCCTTCTCATCCCCGTCATCCCCCCGCCTGCTGCTCCGAGAAGCAGACGACGACGGCCGTGCGCCCGTGCGATCCTTCTCCCACGCCTTCACCTCCTCCATCTTCGCCAGAAGCTTTGCCAGCCGTTCCTTATCCTCCTTCCCAGCCCCTCCGTCCTTCTCCTTGCCCCTGAGCGCGTCCTTAGCCGCTGCAAACATCTCCTTCACGCTGTCATCCTGCTTCTTCCCTCCCTTCCCCCCGTCACGATCCCGGTCCCTGTGCCGCTTCCGCTCCTCCTCATCCTCCCCAGCATCCGTCCCGCGGGACCCAGTCCTCCTGTGCCTCCCCCCGCCCCTCTCCCCTCCGCCTCCCCCTCCGCCCCCGCCGTCTTGCAGATCCGCAAGAGCAGCCAACAGCGCGCCAGTATCAGCAGTCTTAGTGCGGCTCATGTTAGAACTGCTTCGCCTCGCCCTGTCACTGCTCCCCCCGCCGCCCTTAGCAGCCAACGCACCCGCTAAAGCTCTTTCCACATCCCTCGCACTTCGCCTGGAAGACGCAGCAGAGGCAGACTCCGGTCTCCTGCTGCTGCTCCCGCCAGCCGCCCCCCCGTCCCCCCCCGCGCCCTCCTTCGCCTTCAGCTTCGCCTGCAGCTTCAGCAGCGCAGCTAGCTCCTCCTTCCGCTCCTCCCCCGCGCCACTCGCGCGGATCGCCGCTACAGCGTCCGCCACAGCCGCCAGATCCGCGCTAGCTAGCACCGTCGCCAAATCCCCGTCCTTCCCGTACCTGTACCCCCCCGCGCCCCCGCTGCGGCTGGCGCTGCTGCTGGCAATGTTGCGGCTGCTGCTGCTGCTGCTGCTGCTGCCCCTGCGGTCCCCGTCTGGCAGGGGGATGCGCGGAGAGTCCACCTTGCGGTGCGCGCGCGAGTCCGCCGTGACAGGCTTCGCGGGCAGCCCGGGGAGATGGTCCGCCGCGTTGCTGCAGTGCTGCTTTATCCACCGGTGCGCTGGAGGGGGGAGGGGGGGAGGGGAGAGTGGGAAAGGGGAGGACGGCCGGGGAGGGGGAGGGCAAGGAGAGGAGAGAGAGAAACAGGGGTTAGGTTGCAGTGGGCCCAGAGGGGGGAAGCGGGAGACAACAAGCGACAAGGAGGAACGTGGGGGAGCAGACAGGTGGGGAAGGTGAGTGGTGGTGAGTTAGGATTGGGGGAAAAGAAGCGGGAAAGACTGGAAGAGAAAAGAGGAGGGTGGGATAGATTAGGGGGTTAGAGGGGAGGAGAGAGAGCAGACACAGGCAGCAACAGCAACAGCAACAGCAACAGCGAAACGTGCCAACTATCCGCCTTCTCCTTTTTTCCCTTCTCCTCCCCAACCCCACCACCCACCTGTAAACCCCCGCCACCACTCACCATGCGCCTTCTCTGGCGTGATGCGCTTCTGGCGGTTCCTAGTGAGCATTCGGAGCAAGAGGTCTGTAGCGTCCATGGACACACTCTCCCACCCGCTCGAGTGACCCCTCAACACCAGACGCCATGAAACGGGCAGCCTTCCGCCCCCCTCCCAACCAACCCTTTCCACCTCCCCTCCCACCCTCCCCCCTCCCCCTCCCCCTCCCCCTCCCCCCTCTATCTAAATGAACCCCGCCTGGCCTCCACTCACCAAGCGCCTTCTCAGGGGTAATACGTCTCTGGGGGTCCCTGGTGAGCATGCGCAGTATGAGGTCCATCAATTCCAACACTTGGCATCAATTCCATGGACACGCTCTCCCACCCGCCCACCACAGAGACCCGTCAATACCAGAAGCCGAGAATTCTACAACCCGCCACCCCTTGCCTCCCCTTCCCCCCCTCCTTCCCCCAACCCTCACACATCCCCACCCTTGAAACCTGCTTCACTCACCAAGCGCCTTCTCAGGGGTAATCCGTTTCTGGGGGTCCCTGGTGAGCATCCTGAGAACAAGGTCCTTGGCGTCCATGGACACGCTCTCCCACCCGCCGCTGAACACGTCCACCTTGCCCGTCTTGATCGCCTCGAAAATGCCCTCCTCCTTCTCCGCCCAGAAGGGCGGCAGCCCGCACAGCAGGATGTAGAGGATGACGCCCACGCTCCACATGTCCGCCTCCATGCCGTAGTTGTTGTTCAGCACCTCGGGGGCTATGTAGTACGCGCTACCCGCCATTGTTGTTAGCTTGCCGCCTGGGGGAAGCAGGGGGGAGGGGGGAAGGTGGGAGGAAGAAGGGGGGAAGGTGGGGGCAAGGTGGGGGAAAGGTGGGGGGAAAAAGGAACGGGGGAGAGAGGAGCGGGGAGAGGGGAAGCGGAGGGGGGAGAAAGGGAAGAGGAAGGGGTTGTGAGGAGTGGGTGAAGAGGGGAGAGGAGGGGAGAGAGGGAAAGGGGGTGGATGCAGAGGCATGTGGAGCGGAGGGAACCCAACGCACAAAAAGAGAACCTACAGAAAGGCAGGTCAATAGAGAAGTGCAACACAAGCACTAGCCGGAGCGATAAGAAGGAAAGCGGACCTAATTGGACGCCCAGACATGTGTCAGCTTGTCAGCGCTGGAGCAAGAGTGAGACCAAGGGCTAAGGCTGATTGCGCAGAGCGTGAGGAAGGGGCTATCGCCAGACGACTCAAGAAGGCGCATTTGTATGTTATATTCATTATTCTTGTTCTCGAAAAGTCCATACAACAGGAAGAGAGAGACCTTTGCCAGACAAAAAAAGGGGAATGGGGGGGGGGATGAAGTGGAAACAAGGACCAGGATAGGCAGGGAAGCGGTTGAAGGGAGAGGAGGAGAGGGGAGTGGAGCGGAAAAATGGGCACTGCTGAGGAGGCAGCATGAGGGCGAGTGCAGGAAGCACAGACACACGAAACACCCACGGCAACAGCAACAGCACGAGCGCAAGCGCGTCCTCTTCCCACACATTCTCACTCACCCGGCTTGACGAACGCGGCGAGCCCATAGTCCACGACCTTGACCTGCGTGTGCGACTTGCGGTTGACGAGCAGGATGTTTTCGGGTTTGAGGTCGCGGTGCATGAGGCCGTGCGCCTGGCAGTGCTGCACCACGGAGATGAGCGTGCGCGTGAGCAGCGCCGCCTCGTCCTCCGGGTAGTGGTGCCGCTGGCTGATGCGCTCGAACAGCTCCCCGCCCTCGCACAGCTCCATTATCAGGTGCACGCGCTGGGGGGGGAGGGAGCGGGGGGGGGGGAGAGGAGGGGGTTGAGGGGGAACGAAGGGGGATGAGAGCGGAATGCGGTTGAACAATAAGATGGCTCGAACAGCTCGCCCCCCTCGCACAGCTCCATGATCAGGTGCACGTGCTGTGGAGGGGGGCGGGAGGGGGGGGAGAGGGTGGAGAGGGAGGAGGGGAAAGGGGGAGAAGGGGTTGTGGAGAAAGGGGGAAAAAGTGGGGGTTGAAGAGGGGGTTGAGCTCTGATGCGCTCGAACAGCTCTCCGCCCTCGCACAGCTCCATTATCAGGTGCACGCGGTGGGCCGGGGGGGGGGGGGGGGGGGGGGGGGGGTGGGAGGGGAGGGGGAGGGAAGGGGGGATTGGGGGAAGGAGGGGGGAGGGGGCGAGGGAGTGGGGGGGTGGCAGGGGGAATGCGTTAAAAAGGGGGAGTTTGAGCGAGTCTCAGAACACGCCGCCCTCGCACAGCTCCAGGATCAGGTGCACGCGCTGGGGGGGAGGGGGCGGGAGGGGGGGGGGGAGGGTGGAGAGGGAGGGGGTTGTGGGGAAAGGGGAAAAAGTGGGGGATGAAGGGGGTTTTCAGCTCTGATGCGCTCGAAAAGCTCCCCACCCTTGCACAGCTCCATTATCAGGTGCACGCCCTGGGGGGGGAAGGGGGCAGGGGAGGGATTGGGGGGGAGGAGGGGGAAGGGCGCGAGGGAGTGGGGGGGTGGCAGGGGGCATGCGTTAAAAAGGGGGAGTTTGAGCGAGTTTCAGAACACGCCGCCCTCGCACAGCTCCAGGATCAGGTGCCCGGCGAAGGTGAGGAAAGGAGGGAAGAGGGGGGAAAAAGAGCGGGAGGGGATATGAGGAGAGAATGCGTTTCACCGAATCAGGATGGGGGACGGAGAGCTACTGCCTGATGCGCTCATACAGCTCGTGACCAAAATGTTTTTTTGCTTATCTTTTTTTTTGTTTTTTTTTTTTTTTTCCAATGCGGCAATCTTCACTAAACGTCTGCAAGCCGCACCCAATGGAAGAACTTCTGGAATTTTCTCAAGAATGGAAGAACGGGCGGAGAACAGGGCAGGAAAAAACGGCAGGGGCTGGAATCTGCTGGCTCGCGAATTGCGCGCAGAGAGAAGGAGCACATCCGAGAGATCAAGAAAGCACAACCAAGCGCCAGCCTTGGCCTTAGGTCGCTCAGTAGAACGCGACTAGCCCTCAATACTCGAGTAGACTCAAGAGTCGCGCCGCGTACTACTATGTTTTGTACGCGTCCAGCGTTAGACTCTAAAAGCCTGCACGCGAAACGCATGGCTCTCTGGCAACCCTAAAACCGAAATTCTTTTTTGCTCCGTCACGGTGGACCACCTTCCGAGTTACTCGCAATAGTACGCCTCTCTGACTAAAAGGTGAATCGTAACCTCTGTCTTTCCACGTTCCACTCACCGTACCTTCCGCCCGTACTCTCCCCGCCTGCTCCGGCGTACCTTTTGGTCTTCGTACGTCGCGTGGAGCTCGATCACGGCGGAGTGTCCGCGCAGCACCTCCATGACTTTAATCTCCCTCTGCACGTCCTCCACCTCGCGCGTGCCGCTGAGCTTCGTCTTGCTGATGGACTTGCACGCGAACGGCACGCCCGTCATCTTGTCCTTGCACTCGCGGATCACGCCGTACTGCCCGCGCCCCAGCTCCTTGCCCATGCTGTACTGGTCCTGCACGTTCTCGTACGGCCGCTTCAGGATCATCACCGTGTGCGGCGCCTCCTTCACGTCGTCCGCCGCTGTGATTGGCTTGGGTAACGAGTCTTTCGTCGCCATCTCCCGCGGGAGCTCTTTCGCCGTCGAACCCATGGCTCCTGCTGCTGCTGCTCCTGCTCCTGATCCTGCTGCTGCGGCTGCTGCTGCCGCTACGATTTTCCCCGCTGCGTTTCTTCCCGCAGCCGCTGCGCTGCTCGTGCTGGTGCTGGTGCTGGTGCCGGTGCTGCTGCGGCTGTCGCTCTCTCTAGGAATCACACCCGGAACGTCTACCGACGGCGGCGTGGGAGGGCCACTTAGGCTTTCGTCAGCAGCTTCGTCTTCTGACGTCAGGCTATCTTGATCGCCGAGGAAGTTACCAGAAGGGTGCGTGGCGGCTGTGGGAGAAGGCAACCCCATGGAACGATACCCATTCGCGACTGAACTTGCCTTCTCCCGCCGATTAACGACCTACTGTTAAGCACCCTATTCACGAGCCGCAGTCAACCATCCTTGTGCATCCACCGTTCTCCACTCCCTCCGGCATAACGACTCACCTTCCTCCCTCCCTCCCTCTCTCACCGCTTCCCCCCTCTCTGACTCTCTGCCGCCGTGTCCTCCGGCGCCTATTTAATTCAATCCGCTGCTGGCCAAATGTGATTGTCGCTTCGGCAGTCTTCGGACAGAGAGATGACGCGCAAACGAGCGCGCAGATGCAAAGCAGTAGCGGGGATAACAACTGCGATAGGCTATTATTTGCAAGGCTGTTAGGGTCAGGCGAGTGGCGGCAATGCCGTAGGAAGCGACGGGGAAACTCCGCACCGGGCCTTCCCCGATTGAACAACGCCGCGGGACTAGCAAGATCAGTGAAACCGGATGAAATACACACTAAATGATATATTATCTTCCGCCGGGTTCAGAAGCAGGAAAGCTCCTGCGAGCTTGGAGCGCATAATACATGCGCGGATAAATTAAGCGAGACAGCGTTGGAATCAACGCTCTCTTCACGGAAAATAACGCAGCGTCAGGCAGCAGTGAGCAGCATGCTGCGGTGCGGACCCTTGAAGCATGGAAACCCTAAGTGTGGAGCATGCAGGGATGCTCTAAGACGGTAAAGCTGAAGCTGGGTAATACCAGCAACCAAGATAAACAGCACGCAATGCGACGTCCCGAGATTTTAAAACACGAAACGGCAGCGCACATCCCTAAACGCGAACGCGACTTAGTTAGCGGTTACCCATAATAGCTGAGGAACGACAGGTTAGGTACAGGAGTTTCAAGAGACTACGGGAGTGGGGGAGATGGGAACAGAGTGAGATGTGGAAATTGAGGCGGAAGCAGGGCGGAACCTGAAAGGGGGAAGGAGGGAGAAGAGTTGGAAGGTCGGGGGGAGAGGGGGAAGCGAACGGGAAAGAAACGGGAAGGGGAAAAAGGGGAGAGAGTGGTTGGGCTGGGCTGGGTGGGGGTTCCTGGGGGGGGCCGTATGTGCGACTGTACGGCGGATGGTTGAATTGAAACTTGAACTGCCAAATGCCAGACGCGGAGCGGCAGTGAGCGGGCCGACACTAACGGCGCCCACACAGTGGCCCCTGCCCCCCTGCGCGTGTGTGTGTGGTGGTGGTGCTTCCCGAACAGGGGGAGAATGATCGGGGGAGATATCTGTGCTTTCCGAACAGGCAGGGACGTGCCCCACCCACCCGCCCGCCCACCCATCCACCAACCAGTCCCAAGATGGTTTATGCTTGTAACGGGCATACTCCAATAAGATATACACACAAAAAAAAGATATACACAGGTATAACATATCAATCCACTTACTCTCTCAACATCATACTGAAACCATATCTAGAAACTTCTTTACTGGTGTCTGAATGCGATTTTTATCGTTCTGAATATGTTTCAACTGCTTTATAAATGTATACCATATTTCACCTTTAAGTTGATATCTGATATTGGTCTATTCACAACGACATCCGTGAGACTACTTAAAATGACGGACAACAAAAATTATACAACAAACTGCAATAATCATGTCTGTGTTGTTGCTGATATGGTTTATACTGTAAGCCAAGAGTCGTGTAATCTGAGCGTTAATTTACTGTTCTTGCACTAACACACTAATACTCCTCAGATGCATTTCCCCATGCAAACGCATGTCACATCGCGCATTTCAAAATGCACACGCATCCCTCGCCACCCTGCTTATCCCACTAAGCATTTCTCCCGTTTCTCGCATGTTATCACGTGACAGTCTCCCCCTGCCTTCTTGAGCGCGATCACTCATCCATGCCGAGCTCTTGCACCTTGAGAAACGCATGTGCAGCATTTCTATACCGGTGTCCCTGAACTGCGCAATGCGTTCTATAGCCCCGAGCCGCGTGAGAGCTTGCCAAAGTCCCAGAACGGCTGAAGGCTCGCAACGAACTGAAGAGACTTTGAATCATTGAGCTTCTCGGAGCTGCTCCATTAGTAGCCGGCGTGACCTGCAGTGACCCGTGTATATATGTCATCGTCAGAGCAGCAATGTAATCAAGCTAGTTCCCTCCTCTTAAAAGGGAAACGGTTTCCGTTCCTCTCGTTGCCTGAGCTGAGTACTTCACCTATTATCCACGCTTTCTGCCTCACCTTCCGCCTCGTGCGCTGCTTTCTCCAATAGAAACCATGGCGCATACAAGCAGCCTCACGACCAACACCACCTCCCCATCCCCTTTCTCATCCCTCCTACAAATACCCCTCTCCACTCTCTTCCCATCGCTCCTGTTTCAAAAACATCAGCAGAATCTGACTACCTCACCTCTCTCTGCCCAGCCGTCCCCAGCTCCTCTCTTTCTCGACCTCCCTTCCCTCATCACCACCATTGCATGCATCTCCATCTCTCTCATACTCCTCTTCCACCGCCGCAGCCGCCGAATCTGCTCCTCCTACCCACCCGGCCCTGCGCCGTGGCCAATCGTTGGGAACATCCCCTCGCTCGGAACCCTCCCGCACCGCTCCCTCGCGAAGCTAGCCGACAGGTTCGGCCCGATCTTCACCGTCTGGTTCGGCCCGACCCCGTGCGTGGTCATCTCCTCCCCGGACCTCGCCCGCGCGGCGTTGAAAGCGCAAGACAGGCTGTTCAGCAACCGCCCGCTGGTCACGTCCACGCGCGTGCTCACTCTGGGCGGCAAGGACATAGCGTTTGCGCCGCCCGACCAGGCGTGGAAGAAGCGGCGGCGCCTGGCGTTCCTGCACCTGCTGTCCGCGCGCCAGCTGGCAGCGAGCGCGGCGCAGCGCAAGGAGGAGGTGCGGGCGATGGTGGACGCCATGGCAGGGGAGGTGCGGCGCTGCCAGCACCCTGCTGCTGCTATGGGCGGAGGGGCCGGAGGAGGGGATGCAGGGGGTGGTGGAGGTGGAGGTGGAAGTGGAGGTGGAGGTGGAGTGGGGTGTGTGGTGAACATGAGAAAATACTTGGGTCGAGCCACGCTCAACAACATTCTGCGCCTCACCGTGGGTAAGCGGTACCCCTACAGCTTCTGCAGCAGCGGTGGCAGTGGCGGCAGTGCCAGCGGTGGTCGGGAGTGTGGCATGGGCCACACTGGTAAACCTGGCTCTGCTTCTGTTACCACTCCCGATGCTGCCAGCACTGCCAGTGGTGCTACTGCTGCTGGTGCTACTGCTGGTGCTACTGCTGGTGCTACTGCTGGTGCTACTGCTGCTGGTGCTACTGCTGGTGCTACTGCTGCTGTTGCTACTGCTGGTGCTACTGCTGGTGCTCCTGCTGGTGCTCCTGCTGGTGCTACTGCTGCTGGTGCTACTGCTGGTGCTACTGCTGGTGCTACTGCTGGTGCTACTGCTGGTGCTACTGCTGGTGGCAGCAGATCCTTGCTGGAGCAGGAGGGCGAGCGGGTGGCAGCGATGGTTGATGAGGTGTTTCTGGTGGTGGGAGCTTTTAACCTCAGCGACCACCTGCCGTGGCTGCGGTGGATGGACCCTCAGGGCATTAACACGCGGGTTGGGAGAGTGCAACCGGCCATACATGGGTTTGGGCGGGCATGCATCAGGGAGAGGGCGGAGGCGGTGGTAGGGATGGCGAAGCACAGCCGGGCACGCACGGAAGGAGAGTCGGATGGGGCATGTGGGGCAGGTGTGCACAACGCACAAGGTGATGAGGCGTGTGGCCATAAGGTGTTTGTGGACTTCCTTCTAGAGCGCCAAGGGGCATGCAGTGAAGGAGGCAGAGGGGCATTAGGAGCAGGTGGAGAAGGAGGAGGAGAAGGAGCAGGAGATGAATCTTTGGATGAGGAGGAGATGGTGATGCTGGTGATGGATATGATCCTAGCTGGCACCGACACCACGGCCAAGACTGTGGAGTGGGCTCTGGCAGAGCTTGTCAACCACCCCCACGCGCTCAAGGGCCTTCAGGACGAGGTTGACGCTGCTTACAGTGCTGCTGCTGCTGCTGAAAAGGATGTTGGCAGTACAGCCGGGCAAGAAGATAAGGACCAACATGGAGAGGGCCAGGGAGAGGGGATGGGAGAGCACGGTGGTGCTGCAGGTGAGCAGAAGTCCCACCAGAAAGGAGTGGCACCAGTGCCCAATCAGCCCAACCTGTCCACCCTGCCATTCCTCCAGGCGGTGATCAAGGAGACCCTGCGCCACCACCCCGTGGCGCCGCTGCTGGTGCCACACAAGACCACAGAGAGCACTGTGCTGGGCGGGCGCAGCATCCCTGCAGGTACCATGGTGCTGGTGAACACATGGGCCATCAGCCATGACTCTAGGCTCTGGGACCACCCCCAGGAGTTTGACCCCTGGCGCTTCATGCCACCGCTGTCTGTACCACCACCACCTCCCTCTGGAGCCCCTTTACCCGACCCCATGGCACCACCACCACAGCCCGTGGCAGAGCAGGCAACTGTAGCCCCTGTTGCGGCCGCCACCACTGCCCTCACACCGGCCTCATGGGATCCCTCCAGCGCCTTCCTCATGCTGCCTTTTGGCGGTGGGCGGCGGGGTTGTGCAGGCATGGCTCTGGGCGTGGACATGGCTGCTCGCATGCTCGCTGCCCTCCTGCTCCGCTTCCACATGGCCGTGCCGGCCAACAGTGCCACTATGGATGATGCTGGGGGGGTGGAGGGACGAGGAGGAGGAGGGTGTGTGGTGGAGTTGGGGGAGGTCCTTGGGCTGACTATGGCCATGGAAAAGCCGCTCAGGCTGCTGCTGTGGGAGAGAGAAGAGAGAAGTCTGTCTGGCAAGTGTGAAGAGAGGTCTCTAGGATAGTGTAGGAGAGGTGATAAGACTGGTAGCTAGAACCATGGACGGGAAGAGGGCTCTGCCATGGTGGAAAGGCTCCTAGTGAACTACTTGGGTTGGGAGGAGGATGGGGAGGTCTTGTACCCGTGACCAGCCAGTTTTGTACGATTGGCTGTAGACCGTGCGGAGGTTACGGGTGCGGAGCACACCCAATTGCTTTGGTAGTAGGCAGATAGTGTGAATCGCAGTTCTCTTGTGCATGGCTGCAGCTGATGGTCTTGCACTCTTTGAAATCAAACCAATGCTAAGGGTACAGGAATCAGAGCACACACAACCCTATTCCCCCAATCATCTACCTACAACTCTCACCGCTACACTCAAGGCCTTGCTTCCAACTTAAGAGCTGAGGCAGCTCAGAGGTGCAACTGTATTCTGTCAGCCATGGCAACACGACCTACTGCATCACGCACGCCTCTATCTCAACTCATATTATCTAAAGCAGACGAGCCACCTCTCTTGAGACCAACTCTGCAGATGTTCCCGCTTGCCTTCCTGCCTTCCGCGCCCGCCCCTCCCCTCTCCCTCCCAGCTGTATGCCGTTCTTCCATTCAAACCGCCTCATCTCATCCCGCAGCCCCCAGTGCTACCAATACCAGCCAGCGCACGAAGACCATCACCAATCACCCCGCAGTCCAGTACTTCTTCGCGCACACCAGCACCGCCTCGCCCTGCGCGCCGTCCTCCCCACCGCTGCTCTCAATGCGCGCGTCCCATCGGAGCCCGGGCGCGAGGCGCAGCAGCTGCTGCAGCACGGGCAACTCATCATGAATCAACACCGCGCCCTCCGGCCGCAAAATGCGGTCCATCTCTAGCAACACGTGCTCCACGGGGCACGGCCGGTTCACCCACTTGGAAAACAGGTTCGACACGTGGACTAGGTCGTACGTGCGCGGGTACGTCGAAAACGCCTCGCACCAGTCCTGGTACGATCCCAGCAACCCGCGCTCGTAAATCACTCCCAGCGTGTCCGCCGCCGAAAACGCCACCGTCGAAGGGGAAGCCGCGACGGCCTCCACGCCCGCGCCCGCGCCCGCCGGCGGCTCCCCGTCCGCGCCGATGGCTGTTCCGCGCTCGACGGGCACCACGTTCATCACCCACACGGGGTCCTCCGCTTCCTCCAGGGCCGCCGCGAAGCCGCCATCGCGCGCGTTCATGTCCATGATGTTGCGGTACCGCCCCTGCCCCAGCCCCGGGAGCAGTTTCTCCTTATACCACCGCACGCGGCGCCGCCACTCCTCCGTGTCCGCCCGGAACCCGTCCGCGGACGCCAGCGCATCAGCGCTAGCGCCGCCGTTGCCCAGAACCATCTCCGCTCCGTCAGACGCTTCGGCGGAAGCGGACGCAGCGGGAACGAGGTTCAGCGCAATGCGGGGCGGAACGGCCGTCAGCCTTTCCGGCCAGTTCGCCGGCCTGCCGCCAGGAACGCCGTTCGCGTCAGTGACGGCCGGCACGGGGGTGAGGCACGCGGGCATGGGGGTGTACCACGACAGATCCGGATCCTCCGCCGCGGGGCACATGGGCGGAACACTGTTCCCTTCCGCCGCCTTCCCCTTGAGGCACTCCCCGTCGAGCGGCTTCTGCCACACCGCGAACATGCCCTTCTCCGCGTACTTCCGCCAGCACAGGCTCTCCGCCGTGCGCTCAATCTCCGCCTGCTCCGCCGCAAGGTCCGCCTCGGGGCGGTTCCACCCGCTGGCGTAGTGCTTCCAGTAGATGGGCGGGCCTGTCAGCACCCAGAAGCCGCCCGGGCGCAGCACGCGGTCGATTTCCGCCAGGAGACGACCATCTGCGCAAGGGGGCGAAGGGGGAAGGGAGGGGGAGGGGGAGGGGGGATTAAAGGAGCGGGAAACCAGCGTGTTGAAAACGACGTGAGGCGGCACCACATTCTCAATTTTTTCGCTCCCGTTTTTTACCTCCCTCGCTCGAAACCACCTCTCCTCCCCTGTCCCTCCTCTCCTTTCACCTCACCTTCCTCATCTCCCGCCCTCGACCCATACATTCAAGCTCGTACCTTCGCGGGCCCACGGGATGAGGCAGCGCGAGCAGTGCGCAAGGTCGAAGGAGCGCGGCGGGTACGGCAGGCGCTTGGTGGCTAGCACGCCGATCATCGCGGGAAGCCCGCGCTCCAGCGCAAACTGCACCTGCGCCTCGTGCCCGTCGCGCGGCGCCAGCGACATGGTCAGAATGCCGCGGTTCAGCATGTACGCGCCGAAGCTGCCCACCTGCGTGGGGAAGGAGCCGAGCCGGGGGAGGTGAATGAGGAAAGAAAAAAATGCAAATTAGAAAGGAGCCATGAGAGTTGGCATGACATACAAGCGAAAAATATAACAGCAGGGCGAAAATCAGGGTAAGGCGAGCGCGGCAGCGCGTACGTACCCCGCAGCCCGTGTCCAGCGCGGTGCGAATCGACCCGTCCGTGAGCGGAAGAATCTTCCCGAGCTCCTCGATGTAAGCATCCGCGCCGTCGTGGAACATAGTCCCGCCGCCAGGGAACAGAAACTTCTCCGTTTCCTCCTCGTACTGGATCCAGTGCTGGTCCGCCTTCGCCGTCGTCAAGTGCTTGTGCGGCACGTTCACGTACCACGCTTCCACGCGGCTCTGCGGCCAGGGGAGCGGCGTCTTGTACCCGACGGGTGGCGGAATGAGGCACTGCTTCACCTCGCGCACGGGCGGGCAGTGCCGCTCGTGGTGCATCATGGCTGTCTTGGGGAAAAGCTTCGCGCGATCGGGATCTTCGCACGGCGTGTGGTCGGTGAGGGCGGCGTCGCACGGCTCGAAGATGCGCGCCGCCTGCGCCGCTTCCGCCAGGTTGTACCGCACCTGGTTGAGGAATCGGCGCAGCGGCAAGGCGCGGCGGGAAGCCTTGCGGTCCCGCGTGCCCGTGGGAACCGACACCTCCTCCATCTCGTCAACGTTGCTGTCAGCCGAGAGCAGAATCAGAGGATTGCGGGTGAATTCAACAGACGCGTTATCAGAGACCGGATTGCTCAGAAGCGGTAGATCGACGAAGCGCGGGCCGGTCGGCGTTAGCAGGGGTTCATCGGACATGGGAGGTTTGCCCAGCAGCGATGCGAGTGCGCGACTGATGGGGCATGGGCCTTCGTGTTGCCTGGAGCAAGCGAGGACCGCGAGGCCGATAACGAACGCGCAAACCATGGCAAGCAGCTGCCAGCCTGGCCCTCCTCGATCGCGTGACGGCATCTTGAGTTGTCCTAGTATTACTGAATCAATCGGCTTCTATCAGACTGCTCTAAACGTACGACCAGTGAGTGAATCTGGGAAAGGAACGTGAAAGCAAGAATTCGACTTCCTCTCCTTTTATCTGTAGGCTTCTATTTTGTGGCCCTGTCCCCAATCCCCACCCCATACCCATACCACACAACATCCCCCCAGACTCTGTCGCACAAGGGAGGTGTGGGCCGCTGGATTCGGGTGAATGTGTTGTGTTCCAAACCATCGCGCCTTGGGAATTTCTTCCCTACCCATGCCGCAGAAAGCGAGGCGCCTCGGTTGGGCTTGGCCTGGAGATTATCCGTTTGGTTGGAGCAGGGCGGGGAACACTTGGCTATTGGCTCAGCAGGGTGAAAACTGAGGCTCGGCGAGTTTGGCACGGTAACGCACAGACAGACAGAACACAACACCCCTTGTCGCATGGGTCCTCTGTCGCCCGGTTCGATCTTGGAATTTGGCAGAGACGACGACAGGCGACAACTGACAGGGACCCATGATGAAGACGAGAGCACCGAAGTTCGCTTGACGGCTCTTGAACTTATACATTACAATCCACATACGGTATTAGTACATCACTGTTACGAGTGCAATTGATTGAATGAACGAGAATTGCAATATCGAAGCAAGAGTACAATGAGCGAAGGCATGAGCGAAGAATATATAGCGAAACTACAGTGGTAATGGTAATGGTCGTGCGACGAGCCTGGGACTGAGGTCGGGAAAGTGTCGAAGCGTAGGCCCGGAGCGCGGGTTACCAGCCGAGCCGTGAGGTCGGGATGCGATGTGCGAAATTGGCGGGATGATGAATGATGCGATGGTCGCGAGTGGTAACGGTGCTGACTGAGGTGCTACAGTGATGTACGCGTTGAGCAGGGATGCGAAGTAAGGAAAAGGGAATTTCCTTACACTACCCCCCCCCTCCTAGGGAGGTCCTCCTTACGAGAGTGCGTGGATGTCTTCGAAGTTTCGGCTGCGCAGATTTTCGGTGAGGACAGGGTGGTTTTCAATTCTGTCCAGGGGAACCCAGTTGTCCTCGGTGGGTGTACGGTCTTTCCAGCGGAGCAAGAACTCGACCTTTCGAGCTCCTCGAGGGTCGCGAACTCTATGGCTCAAGATTTTGTCGGGAGTGATGATGGGTTCGGTTGGCGGCCGTGCCAAGCTGGATGGTCGATGTCGTGGGAGTTGGTTGGTGGATGGTACGTAAGGGCGAAGCAGGCTGACGTGGAACGAGGGGCTGACGTACCAGTCAGCAGGGAGGAGGAGGTGCGTAGTGACGGGTGTGATCATGTGGCTAATTCGAAACGGCCCACAGTATCGAGGGCGGAGTTTGGGAGTGATGGGCAGGCGGAGGTTTTGAGTGTCGAGTAGAACGAGGTCGTCGGGCTGATAAGTGACGGGTCTGCGGTGGCGATCTGCGTTGCGTTTAGCGATTATATTTGATTTTTTAATTGCTTCTGCTGCCCTGGTCCGTGCTGCTTGCAAAATCTCGGCGAACTGTTGTGCGCGTGGAACGGGATTGTCGGGGTTTGGGGTCATGGGTACTGTTGGGTCCTGTCCGTAGTTTAAGTAAAAAGGTGACTGTTGGGTCGTGGCAGATGGCGCGTTGTTGTATGCGAACTCGATGAGTGGCAGCTGCTGCTCCCACGTATTCGGATCGTCGCACGTGGCTCGAATCAGCTGCTCCATGGTCTGGTTTGTCCGTTCTGTCTGTCCGTCGGTTTCGGGGTGATAGGATG